TTTACAACTTTTTATTTGGTACCAGTACATGTATGTCAGGGGAGGTAATAATGATTTCCTAAAATTCATCAAGTTTAAAGAACTTCTGATATTTTGGGAGGGATTTTCTGAGATTTTTTGAAGGGCACCAGGTTAGGGGACACTCAGTTCAATTCTTGCCCAATTTCCAGACGCCAACGTGTCCGACTTTCAGACGAAATTCCATGACACTGAACTTGTTTACAAAGGTTCAAAAGAATGTATCATGAAGGCATTAGCATCACTATTCAACCGGGTGGATTTAAAGTTTTTCAACAGAGAGGTTCGGCAGCACGATATGAAGAAAGTCAAGTGAACATCAAAGTGTACCACGTAATACTCTTCATGTACTAGCACTTAATGTGCAGAATGTGCGATGACTTCCATAGTCAGCACCCCAGAGCAGTTTATACACCACTGCGGCTAATACGGCTAACGCCGACTTTAAATCTTAATTTGTAGATTTTTGCTTGGTGCGGCTTATTCTGCGCACCGCCTATATTCCAAAAATTACAGTAATTACTAGACAAGGTGTACATCATACATGTACATGCACCAAGCCCATAAAAAGAAACAATGGGCTCTGTTTCAATTCATTTGAATTTAATGTGTTTAATTCACTGAAATGTGATGTACATGTACCGGTACCTGTACGAGCATCTAACGCTAACAAGAGATCCCAGTGTTTTCCACAATGCAAATATTGTGTACAATGGCCTACATGTACATGTACATCAGTGTGTGGCGTGTTCTCTTAGGTTATGCAGTGCATCAAACCATCATGTATCCATGCACAATAATGCAGTTAAATGTTTCACAAACTGATTTATTATTGATCGCTTGCAGCAGGTGTATCCATTTATCGCTCAATTCCCCCACGAAACTAAGCACTCAAATGTTTCATCACTGGGATCTGTCTCTTTCCAGATGTGAATTTTTTTAAGGGGGGGATGCATTGCATCACAGAGGCCGTTACAGATAAAAGGGGTCGTAATAATCTAATCAGCATGATGATTCTGGGACAAGGATTGTGTCACACTTCAACACCACTGGCAAATTTGTGATGTCATAGCTACCAGTAACAGTCATGCTGCAATATTGCCAAAGTAGAACAAATAAATTTCAACTCCACACCAGCAAACCTGATGATGACTATTCAGTTCAAACAAATTTGAGTAAAATTTGAGCCAGTGTTCAAACAAATAAAGCCAATAGACTGGTTGATATATCAAGAACAGTAACACATGTAAAACTTCTGAGCATTACTTACATTTTGGAAGGAATGTGAGATGAAGCATACAACAAAATGAAATCCCCTGTCTGTCCCTTTGGGGTCCCCCCCAAAAGAAAATCAGGTGCGTATTTTTAGTAGTCTTCACTGCTACATGTAGGTGCCCTGCTACTACAGAAATGTACTTTAACTTTTATTTAGGCTTCCTGATACCGGTACTTATACCAACTAATATGAGTAACACAAACGACACTGTTTCTTATATACATGTAATTGGACAAATCTAAGTAACGGTACCTCCTATTTAAGCTGCCGCAAGTTTTGACCAACAATAAAATGTCTCCCAATTTGGAAAAAAATAGTTCTGTATCTTTATGTCATTATTACCATCAAAATGATGGTCAACCATTTCAAAATAATACATCCCAGTTTGTTTGGGATTCAAATCCTTTTTTACATTTTTGAAAGAAGGCTTCACTAACTTTTTTGCCACTTTTACAAATATATTTCGCCTCAATGAAAATTAGTCCTAGCAAATAAATGTTCACAACACATAACCAAGACTGATAAACACATCCAAGTTTCTTTGAGAAATGCAACTCAGCAAGTGTACTTCTTTTATATACATGTTGTCTAATACTAAAAATATTCTTGAATCTCTGCAGACTCTGTACAGGACCAATGAAGTGGAATCAAGTTGTTTCAATTCTATAAAGTTCAATTTCCCCTCACAGATTTTTGACAAACGGTGTACATGTACCGGTATATGTACCATACCACAAACCAGTCAAACGTTCTTTCCCTTTAAACTTGCACTGTCCAAATCATATGTAAGCCCGAGTACTGAATTCCACAACTGACAAGAACATTCATCTAGTCACTAACACACAGGATCGACAGCGCAATGCACCAATTTCAATCCCTAGTCCATGTGTTTAAAAGTCACCACATTGGGCTGATCGACATTTATCATCACTCAAAGTGAATTTTTTCGGACGGGGAAGGCCTTTGATATTTGATATTTGCCATGCAGTGCTATGTCTAGGGGTTCTAGGCCAGCCAGAACAGTTCCCACTATGACATGCCACGTATACATGGACAGCATGAATGATCAGTGCGCAACCGTACAGTAGGTACCGGTACGTAGCGCAAGACTATGGTGGTGGCACAGAGGACATGAGACCAATTTATGAGACACGGAGTAGTCTGCAAGATTGAATAAATGTGGGATTTTTGTTTAAAAACAATAACAAAATATCAAATATTAAAAAAAAATGGGGCAGAAGAAGAAATCAGAGTGGGCAGTGATGATAAACAAGTCATCAATTTTGATCAACCTTATCCTTTGCTAAGAATCATATCTTACATTGAAGGACATCTCTCCTTCTGGGAAGAGTTCATTCACAGACATTCCACAAAATTTCTTGCGGAGGTTCATCTGTACCTGGGCACCTGTCTGGATGCATCGACAATTACCAGAATGATGTGTACAGAATTGTGTATCGCTTTGAAATCAACTTGAAGAGGATGAGAAATAAACCCTATGCTAGTTTAACCATATGTATTAATTCACTACGGACAACGCAGTGGACATTAATTTAGTAAATGCCGTAGAGTTTTCAATATACATGTACATGTATACATGTAACTCTATGCCATTTGTGGAACTCTTCTCTCGACCATTTTTGAAGAGGCTTGTGCTTGTAATACACTGGAGCACTGACGGGGCTAAGTGGACATGGGGCGAAGATGTTAGGGGCGAAGTGCTTAGAGGCGACATGGAAATGGGGTGCAGCGTCTGTAAAAAGTTTCTAGCCGTGCCAGCTTCAGAAAGTGATAATGTGCCCAAATGGAACGACAAAAATACTTAGAAAACAAAACTTTTCAGATTAGCCACATTTGTGCACAGAGTATCAAGTGATGTCCGAGTGCAGGTGTATGCTATGCATGGGAACTCTTTCCCAAACCAGACATTGCCAAATTAAGTTGGCCTCAGGCCGGGAAGAGTTCCATTTTCGGACGCGAGTAGTTATTCCCTACAGTGACCTACTACCCTTCAAAGCAAAAAAGTCCAGAGAAGTTCAATTTAGGAGTGAAAAAGCCAAGTCGTTTACTTCAAAAACACTTAGAATTTTTCACACCAGTCCCATAGCAGAGTTCTTCATGGACACATTTTTTTGGCAGGGCAGCATGACATCATCAAGATAGTGATGACGTCATTGGGTGCATTATGACGTAATCAAACAGGCGTGAAGATTGCAAGGTGAACTTCCCTCGGGGAAATTTTAATAAATTTAGTTTCCTCGGATGATCACAATGATGTTTTTAAGGTGATTTTTTTTATTAAGGTGATTTTCTTTCTTTTCTGTTAAAAATTCGTAAGGGGTATTCTGGCATGACCTTGCACAATCACTATAACGCTGAAGTCCAACAATGTGACTTGGCTTCTTATAACGTGTTGCTGCAGCACTGCATGTGTATGCGTGTTTACAAAGCACCAAATGACTTACATACACTACTGCATAGTAACTGTTAAGAGCATCCAAATAGTGATACTACAAAACATGCCCTACAAAAAGAACGCAGTTGGAAGAATTGCAAACAAATAACAAGATTCTAGGCCCGTTATTGCTATTATTGGCCCATTGGTAGTTCCTGTGTATTCATACCTTATTAATCGGTGATCCGGAGACGAATAAGCTGCTGTTTGGATATTTTCAAAAGTCTTTTCGATCACCATGTTTTTGATTGCCATACCTACACGTGCATCTCCAAAGTTTAGTCAACTCAAGTTGAAAATTGCCGAAATTGCTTGGTTTTTTTTCCTGACGGTAACATCTGTGCAGTTGTTCAATTAATGACATCACCGGAATCTTTGTCCGAGTTGTTCTGATCGCGCCAAGCCGAAATCATCGTGACGAAGTGTGCGTGATACAGGTACATGTATAAGACATGCACACAGCGCTGTGGTAATGCACGCAGCGGTGCACATTGTATGTACATGGTGTGCGAGACCGGCAGTCACAAAGGTTGATTCGGGGCACCGAGCGGGCAGCACGTAATGGTAGAGATTGTCCTGGCCATTGGCTCTCGACCGTTTCTATCAGTATTTGTTTCATTTCAAAAGTTTGGCAGAGTGGTAAGAATTTTGGCAGGGTGGCAGAAATTGGCTAGGTAGCCTGAAATTTTGGAGGGGCAGCAGAAATTTAGCTGGGCGGCCTGCCCTACCAAATCTATGGAGAACACTACACTGCCATAGGGTTTGTGCACAGGGTGTCAAGTGGCGTATGTATGGGCCTACCCCCAGAACTGTGGGGTCCGACGTCCACTCCTCGTGGGAGAGGAGCAGACATCGGACCCCACAGTTCGGGGGTAGCGGGCCTACGTATAGGCCTAGGCCCCTACACTAGGTCTCAGCTATGGAATTCTTTCCAACGGCCCCCTTTCTAAAGTCTATGCACGTTGTTATGGCACACGAAAATTAAGATGGTCTGAAACGAAATTCTTTCCCTCGACATATGTGCATCGCAAGCCGCTAGTGATCGATTACGTTCTCTCGATGGAGTGAAATAATGTGAAATTATGCATCGTGTCCGGAAACTAGGCAACTGGCTTACTGGAAAAGCTCGAAGACGCCCGACATGCCCGTGGCCACTGCATACATTTTTTTAATCAATGAATCACATCTCTTCAATTAATTTGGATGAAAAAGTTTTTGAACCACAGAAACATCAGTAATGTCATAACTTACCAGGGCTTGTAATCAGTCATTGACAGCTGGATACTCGCAAATTGTTGAGCAAAACCGCCACGCCAAAAAAAAACGAAATTCCGTCAGATAAGTCACACAACCGTTTCGCTCAGTCCGTCGGCCGTCGACCGGAAGGAAACAATAGTACGATGACTGTGAAATCCCACTGATCCCTAGGACACCGTTGTCAACTGCGAATAAACAACACCTTCGTAGAGTTAAAGCAAGAGGACCACTAGGAGCGTAGGAATAAAATTAAATTCCGCAAATTCTTCGTTTGTCACGTGATTTCATTGGCCAAAAATAGCTGGTCCCTTTTTTCCCGTTGACAATATAAACGTGGAAGGGCTACCAGTCCTTGTTTCCAGAATTTGACGTCGAAAATGTGTGATATAGAGGGCGCTAAATGTTGCAAACGCACGACGATAATATTTTTCACGTGAAGATGATGCCTTGACTTTTATACGATAGCATGGCACCCCAAATAATCACGGCCTCATCCCTGGTGATATCGTTCATTATCTCATTTACCATAACATTATTGCCAATTAGTTTATGAATTAATCTGGTTAAGCGAATTTGCGGTTTCAGGAGGCACACACCTTTTGATTACAGTTTAAACATTTATGTCTATGTTTGAACAAACATACACGGACTGTTTTTTTGTTCTTGTTTTCGTTTAATTTTCATTCTGCACCGGACATTCACATACTTACGGATGCAGTGAGTTGTTATAGTCAGTTTTGCGAGGACATCTTAATTCCAACCCAAACGGTCAAAATATCCCCTTACAACAAACCGCTCATCAAAAAGGTTGTAATATACAAGAAGACGGGACTATTCGGAACTAGGGGAATAAAACCGAGATGAAGGAAATACAGAGAGAACTAAAACGTGTCATTCGAAACGAAAAGAAAGTCTACAAAGAAAAGGCTGAAGAACACTTTCTGAGCAAAGTCTTGAATGGTTTGCGTACGATAAGTTGCTACTCAAAGCCAAACATAATATAAATTACCAACTATCACCGAGGACTATATACCAGTGAGCTTAATGTATCTTGGACAAGTTTTAACTGTCACGAATTTACAAACAAGCTTAATGATTTTCGGAGTGCATTTCACATAGGCATAATTCCGACTTTTTAAAAAACTGTTACAGAAAGTGAGGTTTATCGGCAGTTTATCGGATTGAAACATGCTCGGCAACAATCGTATATTGTTACATCTATTTCCAATCTCTGCTTTGCCACCCAATCAATTCCAAACATTTGGAAATGGTCATGCATTATTCCAGTTTCTAAGAGGTCAGCGGTCACGTGCAAGAATGGTCTTAGACCAACATGCGTTACATCGGTGGTAATGAAGATATGTGAGCGTTGCGTTTCGTTTTGATATATTTGAAACAACTAATTGTTGATTTTTGTTGACCCAGTGCAATTTGAATTGTACTGCGTGAGTGTTGCAGCACGGAGGACGCATATTTGTTTTTCTGTACTCTCAGTTAGAATGTGCCAAGTTTGGAAGCTCACTGCGCATAATGTATTTGACACTTCATCTGCTTTAATAACATTGCAACCTAATATTTTGGCAAGGAAACTTCTTGATTTGTCAACTATTCCTCACACTGTTGTTAAATCCATTTTGCAATAGCTCACTTCACGATTTCTTCGTCTCAGTGATTCAATCCATTTGGATGTTTTCGTTTCTACAATTACAATCCTGGACAAAATAGTTGGAACACCTTGCTGGAAGGGCAGTGAAAAGATCCCCCTCTCCCCCATTCAATGTTGCGTTCATTTATTGGACCAAGATTCGGCCCAACTCACCCAACGAGAAACAACATTGACAGGGAGCGAGGGGAGGCATGTTCCAACGAGATTTGTCTCTAAGAAGTCCGCCTAATCCCAATCCGCCTCTAGGTAGCGCGAACATCCCGCTCTTAAAAAATGCTGCACGCGTGCGATAAGAACCGCAACGGTACACCACCTCAACTGAACTTTAAAAAGGAGAGTCACTCACATCCTTTTTCGCTTTTCCCTTTTTTCATGGTTCACCGTTGCAATGTTTCATCTGAAACCCAATCAGAAAGTGAAAAGAGATCAGACAGAATTATGTACTCCTTATGTAACCATATAGCCCTTCAGAGCGAATAAAAAACTCCATTTGAGAGAAATCGGGTGCGCCGTTCACGATTCGCCCAACTTATCTCATTTTCAATGGCCAACTTAACTCTTGTTGCTGATACCTGCAAGCAGCAATCCCATCCTCGCAAATTTACTATGAACCCTTCCACTGAAACAAATCTTGTACCGATGGGTGATCATAACCCATAGCTGTTGTATCACTAAATATTAAATAACTATGTACATGTATTTACATGCACGTAATTTTTTTTTGGGGGGGGGGGTTATTATGCTCTTGACAGGGCACACTACAACACCTTGCCTATAATAGTCATTATTTATTCCATATACTGCTTACAGCATCACACGGTAGCGCCCAAAACAGCAATGCAGCAAACCCCCCGCCCGATCCCGGGTAACACAGACCCACACTCATGACATCCACTTCCCACTCAGAAACTCGGACAATCCTGGACAAAATCTTGACAAGACCTCGTGGGAAGCCCGGTGAAAAGACCCCCTCTCCCCCATTTAATGTTGCGGTCATTTATTGGACCAAGATTAAGCCCAGCTTACCCATTGAGAAACATTGACAGGGGGCGAGGGGGAGGCATGTTCCAATGACATTTGTCCAGGATTGTAGTGCCTCCAAAAGTACCGTCTTAGCTCCGTTTTTGAGGAACAGACGCAGCTGATTTACAGTCCACTGACGACAGTTGTCCCTTTGTGAAATGTGCAGGTGATACAACTCTCGTTGGTTTTATATAGATTGAGTCTACCAACCTGGATCAAAGAAACCGGCTTGTACCATTCTGTTCACTAAATTTTCAAGAATTGAATTTATCAAAGACGAAAGAAATGTTTCGTAAGGCGGTACCGGATCCTGTATTTATTGATGTATATGAAACAGAATGTGTTGTTGAAAAATAAGTGTCTTGGGAGTTGTGTTTGATGACAGGTTAGACTGCAGTAACCACGTGAACCAGAGAGCGAAACAACTGAACTCGACAGTGTACTGCCTGAGGAAACTGACTTCGATGTGAGACAGGAAATCAAGCTGACATTTTGCAATGCGGTTATTTGTAGTGTGTGGACCTGCAGACTGGGCTCCCATAGGAAGGCGCACACGAAAAATGTCACAGGAAAATGAAATCAGTCAACAGGGACATAGGAATTCAAAAGGCTCATGCTAGGACGACGAACCGATGTTAGAACTAAAGAGCGAGCTTGTTCGCTTCAGATCTCTCTCATTTACGACTGGTTGTTTTTCTTAAGCTTTTGCTGGATTTTGTTATCACATTCACAAGGTACCAAACACGTAAAAAGGAAATACTAACATATCAACACCGTACAAGGTTACCATGAATGTGGAATATACTTTATCTGTGAGCATTATAATAATACAAGAAATGCAGTAAAATAATGACAATGTTACAATTACAGCCCAGTACAAAATATTGAAAGTATATCATTTATAACAATGGTTAGTGTTAGCATTTTATTATACATGTGATATATACTAGATGGCACACATACAGCTGTACACATTTTTTTTAAAGCCCAGTGTCTCAATTTAGTACACAAAAACCTAATCACATTAGGTTAAAACTGACAAGCGCGAGTACAATTCTTAACATAAATGACAATGGTGACGAGGGAGGAGGGTATCAACCAAATACTGTGAATTTAATTTCCTACTTCGACTTCCAACCATCCCTCCCCTAAAATTCAACTCGACAATAATTCAACTTGACAGTAACATCTGATGTTTGTGGAAAAACTGAGATTCAAACACAAAAGTGGCTTGGTTAAGTGAACGAATAATTACACTTTTGTAAATCCAAGCTCTTTTAATCAACTAATCAGCTAAAAAGCATTTAGATCTCATTTTTGACCCAAAGTTTCTAGAACTATGGGATTTGGAAACGGGTGTCTTCACCTGCTCAATTTTTCACCTATATGAATGTGCCTGATATTGTAAATATTTGAGCAGATCATACCTGAACTGTAAAAAGTTATCCTGTCTTTTTGTGAGAAATTTACATCCAGAGTTTCTCCTTCTCATAGAACACTTCCCGCCAGTATCTGTGCCAGCACCATTACAAGAAAACATTCAATTTATGAACGAGTAATACCTCAGTTGAAAACTTAATTTAGAAAGGCATATATACTTGTGACCTTTCTTTCTAAACTCGACCTCTGCACTAAAAACAGTATCTCAAGCCCTTTGCTCAAACTTTCTCTGAAGTTGGTCAAAATAAATTACACCGTAACATGAGCCGCAAATACAATGCAAAGGATGCAGCACAATTAAATTTAACTTCACAGACTTCAACCAGTAAAATGTCGGACACATTCTGCTGGGAGGTTGTAAAGACTGAAAGTAATCCATGACGTTGCCACGTCTGAAACATGCTTCTGGGGAAACGGCTATATCTAACTGTTAGCATCTCCCTGCACAAGACCTAGCCCTAGACAACAGATTCCGATGCAGCCATAACGCACCCAACTTGGATCAGGGATTTAAGATGCTGACCCCAATTCGGAATGTAAAACAGATCTTTAATACTCTCCCTCTCTGAAGGCTGATGCCTGGGCTAAAAATGGAAGATAGATACTCCACTTCCAGCCATCCAAAGATGTATGGAGTCCAATGTCATGGAGCTAAGGACAGAAATCTGCTACAGCCTAGACAAAATTTGCTTAGCCAAAGCAGGTTACCAAACAAAATAGATTATGCATATTGCCTGAGACTGGTCCCCAGCTTATTCTTGATTAGTAGGAAATTTGGCTGAGTAATACAAATATTTTTCCTTGGCTGATCTGTGGAATTAAGTTACAACCCAAATGCCAAACTGCTCCCCCCCATCTCTCAATCAACAATTTTCAGGGTTTAGAAAAATACTCTCATTGGGGAACTCCGCAATACTGCCTTCTGACTTTTAGTCTTCAAGAAAAGATTCGGAGCCGGAGCCTTCAGGGTCAGCTTTGGCGACTCAAGATTCATCAACAACAGGCTAGGATCGTGAGAACTTGCCTGGAGGCTTACCAGAGCCACAGGACTATTCAACTCGGCCACTGGGCCGAATCAAACCTCCCTCTAAATCCAGCCCTTGACCTTTGCCCCTGTACACCCTCCAAAAGCACAACATCATCGACATGTTATCCAATGGCCTGACATCTGAAGAGCAAAGATTAAGGCAAATCTGCTACTTCAGCTTACAGTAAAAACAACTTGCTAACCATCCATACAAATATCCAATTACTTCTGTCCACTGCATACATATAGCTTACAGCCCAATGAATCAAGACACATGTGGTATATTACACTGACATACAAAACAGGAATGCATATACTTTACCCCAAAAAAAAGCCTCTCTACAGCGTCGAGCCAAACTCATCCTTTTAACCATTCAAGTTGCACCCAAAGAATCCACTTTTTACATCAAGCCTAATTCCTGCAAATAATCTACCCTGTTATTAAAAGGTCAGTGTTTACCAACATTCAACACAAACACAGAATTTTTAGGTGGTGTGCTTTTCCAGCTTTGGGACTTTCATGCTTATTCACGGGTGGCATCCAGCTGGCTTATTCATTCAACATCTGTTGTTTTCCAGAGACGTTTCAAATGCCCCCTATTCAGCCTTCTCTTTATGGTCTGGGGTTGAATTTGTTGCCATCTCCTGTGATTGCGCATTGAACATGCATTCAGGAATGCTATCAAGTGACTTATGGTCTTCTGACGTTCTTCTCTCTGTCCAAATACTTCCAAACAACTGCTCCTTCAAACTTGGTCCATTTTTCACTTGTCCACATAATAAAGATTGAAACTTTACAAATAAATACTCCTTGTAACATTCACACTGAAACAAAGTCTACACTAATGTAACATAAATGTTCATAAACTAGCCATGCACTATCATGCAGAGTGATCAACATTTTGTTTACTGTAAATGTCAACATACCACGGTGGAAAACAACTCCTAGCGTAACATGAAAAGTCTAACATCAATTAACCTTTTTTGAGGGAAATGGCGTGCACCAGATTCAGAAGAGAGCGGATGATGATGCAAGTGACTGAAAAACGCAGCCAAGATGCAGTGGAGACGAATATTTCTGTTAGATACCGTACACAGTACAGCTGTCGCACTGTATTTCAGAGAAGGAAATGCTGTTGTCGACAGATATCCTCTAAACTTAAACTGCCTCAGGGTAAAGGACTGGTGCATTTCAAATGTTTGGTTCTCATTTAAAAAATTTTTTTATAAATGTGCTCCTTCAGTCCAATTTAAAAATATAGTAGGATTGTACAAGTACACTTTTAAGCAACGATGCAAGAATAAATAGTAATCTTTGCAGTCTACTTCAAAATGATATTTGACAGTGTAAGGGCTTTTGAGGAAGACTAAAGTTGTTTTTACAGAAATGTGTCACACTTAATGCATCAAACAACAGTTGTTGCTTATCACTTTGGTGGAAAAAAAATGGGTAATAAGGCTTCTATTATGAATACAAACATTTAACAATGTATGAAACAATCAATGGAATGTTTCCAAGTGCATCACAAAGTTGTGCATATATTTGAACTCCTAACAGCCAACTATTGCAGACTTGTGGGACAGATAACAGAAAAACACCCTCCCACAGATGGGAGATCTTTGGCATTGCAACAAGATCATGTGATCAGAATGTGCTCAGATCACATTGTAAAGTTCCCACAAAACATGCTTGAATCCTACAGAATCCAACACTGGGCAGTTTGGATCTCTCTGATCTGAAGAAAGAGATGGCCTCTGTTCCAGCAGGGAAACCATTTGATTCCATAGGATGCTGTTTGTATCTGCCGGAATCTTGGATAGTAGGGAAACCACGGTGTAACATCAAGGCATACAGTTGCTGCACACATCAACATGCGATCAATCTCGGATTGGGATGCACCAGGGACACATCTGGTGGAACTCATGAGAATGGGGCATTGCTAACACTGGAAACATTGGTTTGGCAGTTGATAGGCTACCGGCCAAAATGCCATGCCATGTCTACAGCTCGAGACTGGTTCCATGTTGATTTCTGCCTGGTGCAGGAATGCGTTAAGCAATCTTTCTCCAGTCGACAGCTCTGTAGAATTCAGCCCAGGTTCCTTTGGTGCTCCCAACTGAAACTTCAGATGAAAGAAGCCATTTCAGAGTGTACAATCTGGCACGCCTACAGGATTTCCAGCAGGATTACGATGTGTTTCCTGGTTTAACGAAGGTGTGTGTGAGACCGCATGTCTAATTTTTGAGACTTTCCCGAAAAATTAGCAGAGGTAGTGAGATCCCTGCATTGTAGAAAACTGCCACCTCAAAGTGTAGATGTGGGTGGGAGTGTGTGTGTGTGTGCAAGTCTTTAGGTGTGCACAGCAGGTGAAGTTGCACCTTTGCAGGGTGCACCTTCTGACACCTGTGAAGGTGCCCACTGTGTACCCGCTGCATGGCTCTCTGAAGGAGTCTTTCAACAGCTGACTGATGCAGGTGAAAGCTCAGGATAGTCCTACACAAGTGCCTCAGGTGCTCCTTGGATTTAGCCACTCAAGGTCTGGTCCTAGGTTTTATTCTCCGTGGCAACAATGCAATCATCGTCCTCAATGCAGCAACATCCTGAAGGCACAGCTGATGACAGAATGAAACTGAAAACCCCAAAGATGTGTCAGAGGGGTCTCGTCAAAAAAACATAAAGTTCAGACAGGGTCCTATACACCTTAACTAGGTCCTATATGAGTCTTGTGTTCCTCAGGGACTGGACGAGTGCCCGATAGACAAAGATGTACTGGCCAACTGTCTGCACCATCAACATGCGTTGGTTCCTCAAACGCTCCAGCATCCTGGGAACATTGATCTCCTGAGAAAGAGACAAAACAATGAAATGCTCTTGTAAGTCTCACCAAAAAGCCCCTTGTTATACACGAAGTACCAGAAATGTCTTTTATTTACTCAGAGAAGGCAATCCAGTAAGAGGAAAGGTTAAATTTTCATAACTGCAGCGTGTAAAAGTCATAGATTGAAAAAGGACGATTTCATTAAATATCAGAATTGCCTGACATCAATCAGCTTAAGTCAGATGCAACCTTCTCTAAGTATTCTAAGGACTTCCAGTAGACAGTTGTGCACTTTTAGGTCAAACCTGGTCACCTATGCTCTGTGCCACCTGCTACAGTGAACACATGCACCTATGTAATATACTTTTCCTTGAGTCTAGGGGGCAAGCCAAACAGTGCAATCTACACATACAATCCTTCCACTATGTTCAGATCGTTCTCATGTCATTCTCTGAACATATTATCTTGGATTCAGCCATTTACCTCGTTGTGCTCTAGGCTGTTCAACATGAGGTCAGTCAGGATCAGGACTCCACTCCTTCCAACACCTGCACTGCAGTGGACCAGCGGGGGAGATGGCTTGTCGCTGATGCTGTTGGCGTGACGGCAAACTGACTGGAACTCCTCCACAAAGGCTGCCGATACAAAAATGCACACACCACACAGAAATTACAAACAGGTAGTGCTGGCAGGGAGTTGCTAGTGGCGTACAAGTGCAGCAAGGTTGGCTGCTGAGGGCAATATTTGCATGTAAAGAGTCAGGATTTTGGCAGCAGATCCCATTAGCAAACCACAGGCTGATCAATGGTAGTAAACCTGACTCAAACAGCCATTACTTAACATACAGGCTGTTTTTAGTAACATGCATTTAGGGCAAACATATGAGAGACAACTTTCATGAGCACCGTAATTGGTTACAGTCTGTGCACGTTGTAACTTGTACACAACCTATCTGTCCCAGAGACACTGCACAGTGACTGTGATCTATTCCGCAAAGCGACCAATCTTTTGCAAGGACTATCCTAGTGATGAGTGGGGAACCCTTGAATAAATCTCAACCCCAAACTCTGTGTCAAATGCCCGCAAACAAGGGCCAGCACAACTCCACTAAGAGCATCAGGTGGTCTTTGAACCAGAGCTCTTCCAAGGAGGCGGGGTACACATGAGAACACATTACACCAACTTGACATAACAGTGGCACACTGCTTCTGTATCTACAGCAGAATTACATCCACGGGTGAACCACCTGGTGTTACTTACCCAGATAGCCATGGACGTCATCGGGGCAGCCTTGGTTGGGCCAGTCGGTGTACTGGAGGTGCCAGACGGTCCGCTGCTCTCCCGAGGGAACATGACGTACTGTCAAGCCACTGGTTATGTAACAGCCAGAGTCGTTGCTGAACTGACCAATGATACGGAACTGGAGGGGGAGAAAATGTCGGACTAAGGTGAGACAATCTCAATGAGACAACGGCTTAATCACACGCCTTCCAGGGATTACACCTAACAGGGCTGAATCCTCCAATTTTTATAGTTTTCATACAACCTGGGGGGCTTGAGGAAAGTGAAGATTATTACGACTACATAAACATACCGGTCCAAATTCCACCGTGTTTTTGGAAGAGCTGCAGTCTGGCCAATACTTGAAACACTTTTCTTTACCTCCCTCCTAAAGAGGAAAAAAAGACAAGTAGAACGATCAGTCACAATACAATGAGAAAATCGGTCACCACACAGTGACTCTCTTTCAATCCATGGCTGAACATATCGCTATCGTCTGCGACCTGTCTCCATAAAATGAGCTGAAGGTTGGAGTTTTCAAAAATTGAGATATTGGTATTTTGCAATTCAGCAGAAAGAGAGCTTTCCAATGGTACGTACATGTACATGGAACACTTAGGGTGAAAGTATGAGGTGACAATGTGACATTACTCTGGCAGCTTTGCATCTTTGTGTCCGTCATTGTTTCTACATTTCTGACTGGGCAAGAATAACGCTGTCATCCAAATTGCTGAGAAAACGGAAGTTTAAACCATCTGATCCAGCGAAATATTTGGAATGATAATAGGGGACGGGTTACTCTTTCCAAATATCTCAAAGCCCCCAAAATTGACCTCCGCTTCAATATGACTTTGAACCCTCAAAACAGGAAAGAGCGGGATGCGACTTTCCACTCATTTTGTCGAGACGGGTCACATTTGAGCTGAGCAGTTTGTGTGATAGAATTCCGATATGACATCAATACATCGAGAATATACCACTACTGAATATAAATGTTTTGAAGTAAGGCTTAAAATAATTCTTTACACACTGACAACCGACCGGCAGCTGTATACAAAGGCCTCCTACTTCAGTGTTGTATTTCTGTGGACAGGTGTACTATGGAAGTCTCACCAATTACAGCTATCAAGGTCCTCGCACTGGACCTACCGACACACTTTGCCTGCAACCGAGGACCCCATTGTTCCCCTTTTGTTCATACCCAAACTTTTTTTCGGAAGACCTCCCGCATGTTATGAACACAACCGTTAAACAGGAACCCTTGACTCTACTGTCTTCTATTGTTCAGGGTCCCCAACTGAACGCAGAGATAAACTCCCAGGATCACTTCGCACACACAATGTGTATGCTGCCCCATGAATGGCACGTCATTCCAGCAACTGTAAGGAACAACTCTGTCCGGTATCTGAAAAGCTTTGGTCCCAGCAGGTGTTTGCACCTGCGCTTATGGGAGCTATTGGAAAATGGCAGCATCCACTCTCACTGTGAAACATGCGTTACTGCTGGTCCAAAGGCAAGGCTTTCGGATGCTAACTTATTCTGAACAACAGCTGACGCACCGGAAGGTGTACAGCGTGCAGTGATTAAGGTCTGGAGCAAACAATTAGGTTAGGACTGAATTCCACGGCAAAGGCCTTGTCTGAATTACTTGGCTGGGGCTTGATATTATGCGCGAGTCTACGGTAGTGGCTACAGCCACTTCCCATTCAGCTGTGTGTGATTTCAAGCCGTAGCAAAGTGATTCGGACGTAGTCTTTGGCTTGAAATAGCACAGTATCTGGTGGTATCCACAGGAGAGTGAGTCACACCCGGCAGTAAACCAAATAAAGCGGGCACATCGGTACTCATGAAAAGCCAGATCTAGAGAGCACTACTTGCCTCTAGCTTGGTCAGCATGGCGATGACGTGTATCCTCCTCTCCCACACCATGCGCCACCAGTCCTTGACGGTGCTCTCCATGGGGCCCTGAGCAGCCAGGTACTGGCAGGTGTCCCTGGCAATGGGGATCTTGATGTTGGAGGCGTTGATGTAGCCTGTGCTGTTGTCGTGCATAGGGGCCAGCTCAATCCTCTTGTCCTGAACATTTCAGGAGGAAAGACCGAGGTTGGTCAATAAGAACTGTATGGTGTGTCAAGAAAAAGGCTGTCGATTTCGTTCAACTCTGCTTAAAAAGTAGGCAAAAGCTGCTATTTTGAGTCTGCCATGGTGAACAAGAGTGTAGTTTGTTCCAGTCTTTTGGACAACTTGTGATATTAACCCTAAGAGTCATCAACCATTCACTTTTTTGAGGATTAAGGACTGTTATGGTTAAAATAGCCAAATGGCTTTAAACAGCCATTGAACATTGTTAGACGAATGCAAATGCCAATTAGATAAAATGCAAATTTCTATGTACCTCACGGACAAAAGGATAACAGTGAGACAATAAATAAATGATGACGACAAACAGAGTTTTTCTTTCTCAGAATAAAAAGAAATGCGGGAACATGAAATGTAAATTTTACATCAAAGTATGCAAGAACAAAAATTACACTTGGCACATTGCTTTACATTGAAATTTTCGGAGAGCAAATTTGTCCGGTCACAAACCACACTTACAAAACATAAACAAGATTACCTCATTGTCAGCTCTCTACAGTTTATATAGAAAACAAAACTACCCCAGCAAACATACAGACATATTAAACTTACAAAAACAAAAGAACTTTTACAAAAGAGCAAACAGGCAACAAAGCCAAGCAAGAAAGAGAACTTGCATCGGAATTACCATAAAAAATAGATACTAAACAAACAACAAACACAAGATCACAATTCACATGGAGATAGACGTCAAAGAAATAGTCCTTATTAAAACCAGATCTTTAAATACCAAATATTCACCACTTTGTTGACCGTCTTACTTTTAAAAACTGTTTGTATTCACCTCGTATGGGAGCACATCTTTGAAGCGGTTCCTGTGCTCATTGTCGGGGAGTTGAGCAGTGTAGAAGATGGCGTTGGGTCTTTTCTTGGGGATGAGTTCATACTCTGTAAAGACCTGACCGTTTTTGAGGTGTTCTTCAAGGATCTTCCTCTGTTGAATAGAACAGAACAGAAAACTTCCAAATTAGGAAGAGGGAAAAAAAACCCACTTCTTCACCTCAGGTAAATGTTTACAGCTAATCAAATCTAAAACTCTCCTGGAACAAATGAGATGAGTCTCTCATTTTACATCTCCTCATGTCTTGAAATCTGTTGACCGCAAGACAATGATCCAGTTTGGAATTTCAACAGTGTCTAATAGAAATTGTGTGATTATTTGAATATGGAATGTAGTACAACACTTAATTGTTTAATTGTTGGAAACAATATTTAACGTGTGTATAAGCTTCTTTTAGAAATTTGTATCAACCCGAAACATCCTAAGTTCTCTACTTTCAAGACTGTTCGTTACACACTCAGGGAGCAAGGTTTGTTAATTGAATAGCATTCATTTAACATTCATCTTTTTTCATAATCTGAATCCCATAAACAATAAAAAGTCCTTACAAGTCCTGAATCCTGCAAGTTCAATATAACTGTTCACACACCATAAGGAGTTTGGCTTCAGACTTACTCGAGCATCTCTTGGGTGTTTAGGATCATCTTCATCGTCTTCTTCTTTTCCCCCCGGCCTGACTAACGTCAGACCACTCATTGCTGCCAGCTTCAAGGGCCCCATGTAGTCATTCTTCTCTTTGTCTACGCTGTCGGCACTCTGGGTCACCTCCTCTGGCTCCGACTCCTGAGACGTGCTGTGACCATTGGTAACCTGCGTAGCATGCTCCGGGCCGGCCTGCGTTAGCTGAGATGCTTTGAGACGCTCTCCCTCGTTGATGGAAGGCTTGGAGGAGAAGTTGGCAGGAGGGGAGGGCAAGGGTCCCACCAAGGCTGTCTCAACGATTCCCGAGTCCCGCTGGTTGAGCTGCGACCTGGACGGGTCCACCAAGTTGGCCTTGTCGATGTGCAACATGGCAAACTGGCCAGGGTTAAGCTCCTGCATTTCGGGACTAAGTGGTTCGGGGCTCTGCTGCAACCCACTGTCCCTGTTCGGTGGTACAGTTTGGGAGCTCAGGGTGGTCGGTCGCCGGTGTTCGACTTGGGCAAAGTCCGATGCATAGGTTAAGACTGAATTTTCAGGCACCGTGGTTTGAGTACTGATGTACATTTCCGGGTTGTGCCCGGGCAGTTTGAACTGACGAGGTGGGCTACCGACACTATTTGGTGATAAATTGGAATCAATGTCACTGGTGTCGGCAAACTCACTAGGGGGACGCACCAAAGGGATGTGGTAATCCTTAGAGTATTTGGGGCTCTGCACTTGAGAGTCCACAGGGAATGTTCCGTCAGGTAGAAAGACAGTACCTGGGTCCTCGTAACCAGCAGGGGCCTGTAAGATGGGGACCTCGGTGGGGCTTGTGCTTCCAGAATTGTGCATGACCAGGTTGCCAGTAGCACTGTGTGGAGGGGAGGAAGGGAACGCCTGCTGGCCCACAAACATGTTCATGTTCTGTGCACCAAAGTCCTGCGGCCTGCTCACGTCGTTACTGAGGTGGAGATTCTGGAAGGCTTCCATGGGCAGGGACTGCGCGACATTGCCGCTGGAGGTGCTCATGTCCGACTCCATGGAGCTCAGACCCTGGTGGACCTCATGGAGGGGATGGATGGTCACGTGCTGCAGTCGCCTACTGACTAGGTCAGGGCTGCTGCTGCTGACCTGATAGTTCTGCCAGTTCTGCCGGGCCAGGTCTGGCGTGCTTGTGCTCCCCCGCGGGTATGGAGGCGGAGGTCTGAACTTGTTTTTGAGCAGCTTGGCCGCTATGTACTCCTCCGTGGTTTGGAGGTGGGAGGTGAGTTCCGGCACACTGTAGGTATGGATGATGGCCGAGTGGTTCCCTGGGCCGTACATCATGTGGTGGAGGGGCGCCGACTCCCAAAATTGTCCCGGGTGATGGCTGGGGAGGCCGCCATAGCTGAGCCGATACTGGTGTCTGTACTGGTTGCTGTTGTGGGTGTGGCTACGCTGCCGTAGCTCAGGCTGCTGGAACAGCCGACTGTCCACGTGACCGTAGGCTCCACTCCCGCTGCCTAGATTCCCCATGCTGGAGCTTTGGTCATGGTTCAGCATGATGATGTGCTGGCCATGCACGTTGGGGTTGTAGTCCGGGCTGGGCCGGTAGGCCGGCAGGGCAGCCTGCAGCTTGGCCTTTAGAAGCTCATTCCCGGGCAGGCTGAGGTTGGAAGACGTCGGGGAGACCTGCATGGGGAGAACCTGGTTGGCCGAGTTGACGCTGTAGACGCTGCCATTGTGATTGGCCACTCGGAGGTTGCCGTTGGCATAGGCATGGTGGTCAGCTGTGGACGGCCTTTCCAGGCTGAGCTGGGACATGGTGAACTGACCATGGTTGTCTTGAGCCCACTGGTGGTCAAGACTGAGTTGAGACTGGGTGAAAGTTGGACCATCAGGTGCCATTGTCTGATGAATGGATTCTATCATACAAAAGAAAAGGCTTGTGAACAGTTTTGTAAAGAACACGCAAGCTTTTATGCATCACAAAAACTTCTCAGAAGTTCCTCATGAACCACTGACAAGCTTTGAAATCATTGATTGAAAAAGCTGTTAGCAATTATATGCTGCAAGTTAAGGAATTAATTGTAAGCCTGGCCAATTTAACCACTTATCCAATGACGTTCACTGGGCTGGAATAAGAGGAATACTGTTGGTTTATCCTGTGTTCAAAATTCCTAGCCCCTTGATTTTTCCCCCCCTGAAAATTAAGCTTCAGGAGTGTTTTTTTTGGGAGGTGTTTTGTAGCTACCGCAGATGTGCTTCTCCAAGGGTGAATTAAGTTGGTCCTTTGTTTAACTAGGTTTTTGCACAATGAAGGATTGTGGAGGACTCGGGTATTATCGAGTAAAAATGTCCAGAACGTTAGAATAAAAATTACAAATAAAAAGTGCTAGATATGCTTACCATCTGACGAAAGATCCTTAATGTTGACGTTGCTCTGCTCCGTCTGCTCATTGCGCTTTCGGAGGGTCGGCCTTCTCTCGATGGAGCCGCCGCGGTACGAGCTGTTGCTGATCAACTTCCTCTTGTCAAAACCCGAGATGCCGTCCAAGGATACTTCTAGGGCAGCGGGCCTGAGGAAGATCAAAAAGGATGATGGAGGAAGTTCTACAACAACTGTTGGCAGCCCTGTGATAACTTGGAACTGAGACAACTTCAAACTGTACAACAGTTATGCATGCCTGAAAGTACAGGTTATGTGTTTGGAAATCTGATATTAACTACTGTTTAAAACTGATGAAAGCATGTCTACGAACAACCTCATAACAGGAATGCAAGTTCCCCGCTTACTATTTCAAGAGCTGTTTGTTTCCAATTTTGGAAGCCGTAACCAGACAGCTGGGGTTACTGACTGAGAATAATAGGTCCAGTTTTTTGAGGAAAACTCAATTTCTAACAGCACTGACATAGCGCTCAGCAAGCACTGAGCATACCTGTACAGTGGTTCATATACATGTTGGCGACGAGCAAGAAAACCAAATTACCAACTCCCGAAGCCAAACACAACCAACCAATCACCAGAGACTCACTTGGTGTTAGCCAGACACATCTTGTAGAACTGCTGCTGCGTCTTGCACATCCTCCAGACATACTTGGCCGTCTCGGCGTCCTCCACTTGGAACTGCACTGTCTCCTCGTTGTGCGCCGTCTCGATGCCAAACAGACGCCTATTGTGACCCATGTTGACTATGTCACTCCACCTAGGCAGTCGCAATCATCAATATTCATTACTGCATGCGGCTGATTTTAGCGTCTCAAACACCCCCCCTTCCCCGACCCGCCCTGGAGGAAAAAAACAGTCTTGAGTGCTGCCTGCCTGTTTTGCATCTGTATTAATACATTTTGTTGGCTCGTGACATAGCATCATCTATTAACGAGTTCATTATTAAGTAATAAGGCACATTCCTAAAGACGTACCAAGATACATGACTATGATGCAGGTATGTGTATGACAATGGAACATGTAAATGACTTACTTGAATGTAACTGTAGGCTGCCCGTTGAGATGTTTGACAAAGATGCCGAGGGAGGAGGCACCCAGAAGCAACTCTTGACCTGACTCATCCTGGAGGGAGAAGAGACAAGTACAGCAATCACACTGCAAGGTTAGCCAGAGTCACTGTCTCCACCCTGATCAGGCTCATCTTCCCTAGAACTATCACAACTGCCAGTTCTCTGGGGTTTGTGAGGTGTCAGGACTGTACTGTCAAGCCAGTGTTGGACTGTGTTCAAGTTACTTGGCTGAAGCCATGGCAAAGACAGCCTTCCACGGTGATGGCTATGCTTACTGTCGGTGGGTCCCTACATATTTCCAATAGAGTGACGACCTAGACCTAGCTCTGGACAACAGAGTTGGATGCAGCCTAAGGTAGGGAATAATACGGATGATCATGGATGCGACTGGCTAGCGGCTGCAATAATTTCTGCTCTAAGCGGAGTGCTGTTGAACTTAAAGAGCTCCAAGAAATTGACCTCCTCCGCTTGTGATTCAAATGCTAACACAGAATCAGTCCTCCATCCAAACCTGTCTGTGCAGTTGTCAGAGTATGCAGGGTTCCAGCTGCCAAGTTGCTAACGGCCAAAGTGTTAGCTGTATGCATATGATTGCACACTCTCTTACGAGGCCATACTAAGTACAATTTTTTCTTGAGAGTTTCCAGGTGCATCAGGATTACAGCTAAACGTTGTAAATATTCGCCATTTGGTGACAGTGGTGAGTGACAGCTGAATTCACCCAGGTGCAGCTAGTGCCAAGGTACTCCCACTGATGCAACTAATTTTTGTTGCGTGTAATCTGTCCACACTCCAAATTGGTTACAACATGTTGATGCCAAGGGCCACCTTGTCAGGGGGAAAAAACCTCACCTTTGCCGGATAGGTCTCCTGGCCGTAACCTTCAAGCTGCGAGGTCTCGGTGATGTAAGCCAACTCTGCCATGTCTGGTGACATCCCGGCATGATTGGTGTAGGCGTTGATGACCTCCTGGATTAGATCGGACAGGATCTCGGGGTCAGAGGTCAGATTCTGCATCAGCGAGAGAGAAAAGACAGCTCTGTTACACGCTGGGAAATTTGCTGGAAGGGCAAATGAAATGCACAGCACACAGTACGCAACTTGGTTAGATTATTGTCTGGCAAGAAACTGTAGATTATGAATGTGAGGCCCGCTCCCCATGCCCTTCTGTGTAATGGCACAGCTGGGAGGGTGAAATCTCTTGTGGAAACTCAATTTTTGGTTTTTGTCAGAAATGACATTTGTGATATTTCAGGTTTTACGAACAAAAACAACGGAAAGGAATGTGACGGTTTCTGGGAAGATTTATAGGGCCTCTGTATTACACTCAACTGTTTCAAAGCTTTCTTCTCAGCTGTGTAAAGTCGAACTCCTGTGAACTAATTTACTTTCAATATGCCATAGAACAGCGGCATGACATTTTGAATTGACTATCTTGGCGAACGGAAAAATGTCTTAATGCTTTGGTCTGAAGTATTCTTTTCATGAACCTTACCATTTAAGTTAGTAAAAAAAAATGGCCCACTAAAAAGTAATGAATAAAACAATTTTCCACAAAATTTAAACTTTCCATAGAAGAGAATTAATTCAAATTTTACTTGCAAGTAACTGTCACTGGTTACACAAAGATCAAAGCAGGAAAAACAGAATCATAAAAAGTGGAATGCAATGACATCGGCCAAAATAAAATACATAAATAAAATTAACTTGATACTTCCAGTAAGCCTTTTGTTGCATGCAGTAATTCATAAGTTAATTCCCAGGGGGAAAGCACAGGCCATGGACTTGCACCAGCAGGCCCAAATGCCATCCCACAGGTAAGTCCGAGGTAAAATATGCCATCAGAAGTAATGGGATACATGGAGAATAAATACATTGCTTCAGAAAAGCACTGCATGAGCGCACTTATACAAACAGACCGTGCGACCGCCTTTGCACAGATTAAATATTAAACTGACACTGTAAAATACATGTATCACTCACAGGAGTTGTTTTCAGAAAAAAGGGGCCAGCTTTGAAAAAATTACCATGAAAAATACTGGAATGGGGGGAAATTACACAAGTGATACTGCTGAAAAATATTTGTTTTGATTTACTTTCCCCACTATCGAAAAGCAGTGGAAACAGATTAAAAATTAAACTGACACTGTAAAATACATGAACATGTATCACTCACAGGAGTTGTTTTCAAGGGAAAAAAGGGGGCCAGCTTTGAAAAAGAAACTACCATGAAAAAAACACAAGAATGGGAGAAAAAAACCTCAAGTGATGCCGTTGAAAATTATTTGTTTTGGTTTACTTTTCTTGGAAATTTGGCATTCATAAACAATCGAAAAGAAATTATCCTTCACAGTCGAAAAGTTCAAAAATAAGGAATTAGCCGACTTCTCAGACCTTCCTACCTTTGGGAGTAGCACAAAATCTTGGAGGTATTCCACTGTGTGTCGTTGCTGGTCATAGTCCCCAAACTCAGCTGGAAAAAGGGTTGAAGAAACAAAAGCGGGTATTAAAATATAAAAATGACTTCATGACGAAGATATTTCTGCCAGCAGGACAAAACCTACAAAAAGTCAGAACACCACATTCATTTTCAGGGGGGGGGTGATGGTCAGACCACCCTTGGAGAGAAGTGCTCGAAGAAACATTGCACGAGTTTCAAAATGGATGAAGATATGAGCAAAGTGTACCCTTTTCTGAACCTTTGAACTTTTGAACTATTATCAACAAGTTCCATCTGCCGATGCAGAAAATTATCCACAAGTTATGGGAAAAAATTAAAATCCAAAAATCCCACCGTGTGAGTGAGCTTGGGAATCTCCATCCAACGGAACACAGTAGGACCGTTTTGCTCATGGGCAGGTTGCACAGCACAGAGACGACCATTAAGAACAACAGCACATGTCAATGCCACATTAAAATTGCCACAATCATTTCTGTAGCATTAGCTACCTTGTACTGCATAGCTGGCAAGCAACACAGCTTGTTCTGGGCTGCACGGCAGTATTCCTTCAATAATGTCGGTTTTGAGTTGCAAGAAATACAGGTATCTGAAAAAGAAGAAAAAAAAAAAAAAAAGCAGACAAGCACCAGGTTACAAAATGCAATGTTTTTTTTGGAATGACCGAGTAAAATTTAACAACTCATCAAAAGCAAGAGTTGAAGTGCATCAACGCGTATGACGTCAATTCTACAGATTGCACTGCTGCCAATACCGGCATAATTAAATTCAAAGAAAAAAAATTTTTATTACAATGAATTCAAGTATGCCTAGGTGCATGTGAAACTCACATTTACACAGGTAGGTCTTTTGAAACTGCTCTACAAAAAACACAGTTCTTTATTTGATGTGAAGGTTTTTAAAACTAAAAATTGTCTTCCAAAATCGACAGATTTTTTCCCTGTACCTACATGCATAATACAATTTGTACATACATCAGACAATACATGTATGCTTGGGTTTGTAGCTCTATGGTTTTACTTTAATTGCTCTCATTTCCATGTATTTCACATTTAAATGTACCCACAAGCAGGTGTATACCTATGTTCAATGTACCCGTACATCCATTTATTGTCCACATCCAGCAAATTCAGAACTTCACAGCACACAACAAATACACCACCATACCAATGTAAATTGTGAATAATATATCAGTTTTTACAATTAGACGATGGTTATACGTGTACAGAGGATTTTGGTCATGCATATATACAATACATATATTCATGTACCGGTACATGTACAGACTTGTACAAAATGTAACATCTACTTCTATTCTAAACCTGTTTATACTAAATAGATTGTATAATTGTCTGTGTGTGATTCCCGAGTGTAAAATTTTGGTCCATGCTTCGAACTTGTCTCCATGGGCTGCTGTAATGTACCAGTAGACTGTAGACTGGTACGTGCATATTCCTGAGATCTGGAGAATTCTGTAGAAATAATCGGGTTACAAAATGGCAGAATGTTTCACAATGCCTTACACCCACATGCTGCACATCAAGCTTAATGCTTCAGGTATTCACCATCCTACGATATTTGACACTCCCCCTCAACCCATTAAGCTATAATCAAGAGGTTCTGAAAAAGTCTGAAATCATGGCCCAATGTAAGTTTGCAATCTAATTTAGTTAAGTGTATGTAATAATCAGACTATTTCTAATATGGTACTCATATATGGCACAAAACATCATACATGTGTTAAAAAAAGTAACCCTTGGACTTGAATTGTATTTTTGTCAAGTGTACACAGTAGAAGTTTATTTGCTAGTCTTTTGATATCTGTAGTTGGATTTTTAATACACATGTGTAGTATTTCATCATTTGGTTGCCTTGACCTACCGGTATCACAGGTCAGTGTACAAGTACATGAACTGGTGAATAAATGTGTCAACATCAAATTGTTAGACAGACCAATCCACAGAAAATGTCTAAAGCCATGCCTCTAATCCCCTCCTACCCCACTGTCAATTTAACAATGACAGCAGGCAGGCTATTTGATGCTGTATGTGTACAATGTAAATGGGCAAGTTGGACGACATGTGTACTTGCTGGAAATTTATAGCATAACGCACAGCAACTATACACGTGCACTAGTAGACATGCGCTTGCATTCCTGTTTTACATACAAAGTGTGGACATTCCCTTGTTCTCCTGTGGTTAAGGAAACTTGAGGAAAATGCTCCTTTGAGCTGAATATTTGATGATGATTCCCTGGACTGTTCCTCTTTGGTTTGCCACAGATAACCTTGACCCCAAAATGCCTCTGAAACTGTTCTTCAGAGAGGGGGAAGCATTATGTGGACTTGTGCGAGTCCACACTACGCCATCGCACCCTATATTATGTGGACTTTTTTGTACAGAGGTCCACACTTTGTATACCACACCTGCACATGTTGGTACACCATATTAACCTCTGTGGTGTTTGAGCTGTGACTAAACTGTGACTGAATCCCACAAAATGGGTTTTGTGTGCTGTAATTGTGTCTCAGTTCTGGAAAGGCAGAGCAAACTGAGCTCTTCGTTTCAAAGTACATGTATTTCTCATTTTCTCATCCTCATGGAAATAGACATTACATGGGTTGAGAAACACCGAGGCTTCCTATCCATTTACAAAGTGTAAGATTCTTTTAAAGGCTGTCAGAGGCTTTGACAAAGGGCATCTCATTTCTGCTGGCTTGGATCACAACTGTGCATCCACCATTAAGAGCTGTCATCCATGAAGATTCATCGAAGGACACATGATACCAAGAACACCTCCACCAATTTCAATACACAACATGGCATGTGTGCACTACGGCACTATCTTGTGCCTTTTATGCCTACAGTCTGGAGGGAGAAGGAAAATCCGCCATATCTAAGATTCCAGACAAGGCAAGCATTCTCAGATTTAAAGCAATACTGTAGAAAATGCCACCGATAAATCCAATTTATTTCATTGCACGGCTACCGTACCTTGCAAGGCAGAGCCGTTATCGAGTGTCTACCACAGAACCATCAATTTTTACCATCAACGGAAAGCAATTTAATTAACAGTTTAATAAATGTGTAAAGTGAATGCAACATTTGTTTTATCACAGTCTTGATAACTGATTTACATGCATATTTTGATCATAATTTTGTACATACCCGGTACATGTATATCAATATGCAAACCTTATCTCTTTACAATGCAACTAAGAAAAACCACTGATATAAACAATGTGCATGTACATAGTAGGCATACTGATGTGCATTCTATGATGTCAAATCCTTTTAAAGTTTGATCTTGGAAAAAATTTCATTTTGATCTTGAAAAAAACAAAAGTTCAATTCAGTTCAATCCTTTATTGTCCAGACAAAAAATGGAAACTCTTCTTGTTCACTTTACCGTTACATACACATTCATAACATATCAACATAATATAACATCACAGTAATTAGGCATTCTATTCATATTCAAATGCTTGATATAATTAATTTGGGACAATTAGTGAGTGTTTAGCCGTTACATACATGTATCTTAATAACATGAGTTTGGCAAGTTTCAGCTGTTTCAGTTAACAACTACATGTAACATCAGTTCAACCCCGTGTACAGTGCATTTTGGAAAACCACAGCTCAAAAAAGGAAAGAAAAAACGTGACACTTTGAGTGGTTTTTGCATGAGTTAACTTCTGAAAAGCAATTACCCCACAAGTTGCCATCATCAATGGCGACAGATATTTTGCGGTACTTTTGGCTTGTTTACTTTCAAAACTGAGTCCCCCCACAGATCCTGAAAAACAGGGGATGGGGTATTCAGGGGCTTTTGGGGGGTCACACCAAAAGAATGTAAATAATACTGTTTCATCCAGCGGGAGATTACGCAATCCATTTCGGAAATAAGGAAAACCAAACAGGAATTTCCAAACTGTCCATGGAAAAATTCAAGCCAATTTGCGGGTGAATGCACAGTACATAACAATCAAATGACAGATACTATTGGTACATATTTCTTTAAAAAATAAATACATGTACATTTTTGTCTTTATGTACATGTACAAGCTATGCATGTAATGTAAAAAAAAATGCCAAAGTTCATGTGTAAAGACATACAAAAATACTGATAAAAAGTGGTGATAATAATGTGTATTTTTATATTTCATGAAATAAAATTTGACCTTTGATATTTTGTGGCAGGATATGTACATGTACCTGTACATATGGACTCATTATGCAGCTAGATTCAACTACATGTACAAAGATGCTAACTTGCCATTCTCCAGGCGGAGAAACTCTTGACACTTCCTGGACACAGTTTGAATTCATGTGGGTGTTGTACGGAACACCATAAAGTAATTTGGAATTTTTCCAAATTATGTACTCTAAAGGTAACGCTCAAGCACATGTATAACATTCACAAATAACATAGGGCCTGTTTTCTGTCATTTAATTTCATATCTGCAGCCAATATATGCACACAGGTACATGTACAAGCAGGCTTGTGTTATCTACATCGAGCAAAACTAAACGTTCGCTTACAGATAACGTGCATAAGCTTTGGAGTATTGGCTTGACGCATTGTTTTAGAATACACAGTTGCAAACTGCCATACAAAAGCCGTACAAAATGTGGAATTTTTATTTGATTTGTGCCCAAACGTGGCTGTGCCCAGCAGGCTCGACTTGGCACAGTGAGTTAATGGTCTAGTTCTATGGAACTGATGTAAAGCCAGCATCTGCAGCATGGCAACACTGCCCATGATAACTTGACATCATCACATGCCCCCATGAGAAAAGTCAGAGGACACCTCTGAGCAGGAACTGATGTCAGCGGTAAATTTGTTTTGAAAGGTTTACAAAAACAAACCAACAAAACACTGGACAAGGTGTAATTCTTCCATGTTACTGGCTGCACACATGTACAGTACATACATGTATCCTGCCAGTAGCAATTTATTTTTTAAGGTCTTAAAACCTCGAACACTGGGCAGGGTAATTCATCTGTGTCATCTGCCTGTAAGCTGAACCCAACAGCTATAACTAATTTGCTATGAGTCTCTCACATGAAAAAGAGTGGATTCTAGTCACATATCCATGTGGCAACTGTTAACATTTCAACTACATTTTAACAGCCTGCTGCAGAAACACACTCACACAGATGATAGGGTAAGGGTTGGGAATGAGACAAACAGGAAGTGATCAACTATTTCTACACTGTACATGTAGTTAGGCTCACTGCAAAAGCTTGCAGTGATTTCTTGGAATTCCTACATTACAGAGAACTGACACATTGGATCCTAGCAGCCCCCTTCCCCAAACTGAGCTCTTTATGTAGCTACCAATATGGTCCATGTACAGCAACGTGGATGAGCCATCTCTACACTGTTTGCAACCAGACCAGGATTTCCACCCAATAAAAAAGGATCAGTCTTCAGAGGATTTTGGAGGAATGCATGCATAACAAAGGCTTGTTGTGTGGGATCAAAAGGACTACTGGCATTTGAAGGATGGGGGAACAACAGAAACCACCTTGCTGGAATGTCCACGCATGGCTCACTGAATTTTTTTTTTGGATTGGGGGGAGGGAAAGATGTAGGTGCATATACACCGCCTCAGTGCCCGCTCAGTGAGAAAATAAAACGGTCATTCAGGTGTCTCCACCGGTTTGAAGACAAAAAAGGCACACTACACTGATTTGAATGATGGGAACAAGCTTAGTTTTATAATGTCAGTCAGTCCTACTTTTCATTTTTTCATTTGGAAAAAGAAATGGGCTTGCACAGACGGATTAGATTTTAACTTTGCACATTACAGGGTATTTGTATCTGGTGCTGTTCAGGCTTTAAATGATGCAGGTTTAGGGGAGAAATGCCACATAAACTTAGCATGTGCAATCAGATTTTGTAAGTGGACTGAAACAAGTGACCAGACCCATTTTATTTGTGGTAAAATAAAAAGATCAAAAACAGTTGAAAACCGCAAGAAAAAAACATGTACATTAAACCCCTTGGCTGAGAAATTATGGCCAAAGCTGTAGGTGTAACGTACATGTAGTCAAAATCGATCAAGTGATGTGCGAGACATACATGAAGTACAGCCAGAAATGTGGAGTGAGTTTTGGTTGACTTTGAAAGACAATTTGTCAAAAGCTACATACCAGTGAATATCATATTTCAAATTCGAATAGAAATATGTACTCCTTGAGTAAAGGAACAGGGATGTCAAATTTCAATGGATAAAGGCAACGTGCATGTAAAACAGCATTCCATCATGAAACTTTCCATGCTTGTACCAATCCGTAAACTGCACATTATAACAAAAAGCTTCTACTTAATCTTTGATGACAAACAGAAAACATCCGGTCTCTCCCCTCAACTCAAACATTTACCTTTACACCCTTCTGATTTTTAATTTCAAATGCCACAAAAAAGTAGTTTGGGTCTGACCTTGTGATCTCCTGCCTGAGTTGATGGACATTAGAAGCGAAGAGCATGACGCAAAACCGGAGGACGGGGTCCTGGGCGTTCTTTTCCAGCTGCTTCTTGAGCGGCTTCTCCAGGTCCACCCAACGCAGCTTGTAGCCCTTGTTGATGTACTGGAGACCAAAGTACATGGTCTAGATGGGAGAGTTGGAGAAAAAGAAAAACACACATACATGTATGCGTAAATAAACAGACCATACCCAGGGGGGAATAACATACTTGTTCCCGATGCCACCTGTCCTCGTGTGGTCTCTCCAAGTCTGGTGACTGTCACAAAATGGAGACTTTCTTGCAAATGTGCAGTAACTGGGTCATTATTATACAAGTACAAATAGTCGTGATGTTTTGGGCTAAAAAAAACCCAACTTCTTGTGAAGTGATAAAATGATATCAACAGCGCCCTTGTTCATAAAACACGCAGAATACATGCACCAACCTCACTTTACAATATTACATTATTTGGTAATTTGGGGGGACCAAAAATACTGAAAGCCTTGCCCAAGGGCAGGACATTTCTACAAGACTTGAATTTGAGCACATCGAGCACCTAGTACAAACTTGAATTTTGTAATAAACTTCAGCGTACATGTACATGTATAAATGCTGATTAAAACCAGAAGATCTCCAGAGTTTTATTTCAGTGGTAACTGCAATGCATGTTATCTTTAAAATTTCTTCAGCAAAACATTCTTAACCCAGAAAACAAAATCAACTCACAAATTTAGGACAGAGTAAAAACTTAAGGTACATATGCTAAACATACGCACATAAACCCTCTAAAAATACTTCTTATCCATAAACATACATGCAAATACACACACACCGGTATACATACATGTACGGTATGATACCAACACAAACTACGTATAATGTAATGTACATGTACCTGATACATGCACAAATTTTGTGCACATGTACATAAATTTAAACATAAAATGTTGCCATAATTTATCACGGCACAGCTGCATATAGGAAGGAATTCAGCAGTCTCCATGTACAGTATGCATATACACTGGTACATGTGGAAAATTTATAAAATCTTTATGGTTCGCAATGAACAGACCATATACATGTACATGTACATACTGGTGCATGTACATGTACTTGTTACACTGAATGTTCACTGTGAGCTGACTCGTCAAGTGCATCTACATGCAGGCTACATGTACATATATACAGTTTGTACACAACATATGCACAGCATACCGGTACCTTGAATAAAAATGTACTTGTATGTGCAGTACATATATGTACATGTATAGCCTACATGTTAGTACCTGTATGTATACGTACATGTATGCATGTACATGTAGTGCACATATACATGTATTTTACACAAAAGCCAAAATGTAGGTGTATGCATTCTCAATTCAAGGGGAAAAAAGGTTTCAGAGGCAGGTTCATAAACGAAACAATCAAGTGGCGCTAATGTCAATAGAAAGGACTGATTGGACCACTAACAGTATTTAGCAAAGGGATGATGTTTATGAGTAATGGACAAGGGTCACATAGTTCAACCTGTAAAGTTATGCTAGAAATGTTGTGTGGTGAGAGCTGGGATCAGGGCTGGGTCAATGTCACTCTGGAATGGAATTTGGAACAGGTTCATGTTGAATGCGGGCCCCACCATCAGGTGTTATGGTACCTACATGTACATATACTAGTATCTTGTCGGATCAGATAAGGTCGTTCTCATTAAAGGAGGGAATGTTCATCTACATTGTACGGTAGACCATGTAGGCTCCTATGAAGTTATAAAACCTGTCAAAAAGTCTAGCTTTTAACCAGTATGTGGACACAGATCGTAAACTGCTTTAGACTTCAGCTCGAACAGTCAAAAACAGTCAAAAATTCCTTCCTCTTGATTTGCCTCAGTACACAGACACATATGGGAAATTAGACTGATATTGACTGATATGACAACCGTGTCAAGAATGTACCGGTATCTTTGCACAGGAGGGTTAATACAAACATCCAATGAGCTGAAAGAATGAAATACCCAAACAACATGTGACAGTTATCAGTATGCACCTTAACCTGTTCCGGTATATCATGTGACAGAACCATGACAGAGCCATCTGTACATGTACATACTCGCATCGTACTCTACATGTACCGTTACCCTGTAGATCAATAAATGGTTATAAAAGTATGCAGCCAACCCACGACACAGGAATCAATGCAATAAATGTGAACTCTCCATCATGTTCGTGTACCGTACTTTAACAACATTTTCTGTCTTGCACTCAAACAGGTCATAACCGTCAGCAATCACATGATCATTGTGTCCGTGCAGCTACATGTATACCCCTAGGCCATGATACAGGTATTGTACAGGCTGTACATGTGTATAGCGCAGTGTATGGGTAAGTGGCTGAAATGTTCACACTTTGATTGAACGTGGCATGTTTAATGCAATTGAGGTGCCTCCGGGGTGTGAGTGGCCACGTAAAAATCAAGCTGAAGACAGCTAGCAAAAAGCTGAAATGTAAAAGGTTCCCGTACATTTGTACAGACCAGGTGTACAAAAAGCTGTATTTTAGGGTCAACATCTAATCAAAAAAAGCTGAAATCAGCTAAAAAGCTCAATTCTCACACCCCTGGTGCGCGTTCAGACCACTGCATCCCATTTGCATGCATGTGGTAGGCATGCGTGCTATATTCCTCTTTGACGAACAGGGTGTTGTCACATGTGCGCGCCATCCATGTTCATGGCAGCAAATGTGAGTGCAGTATCACTACTACAGTGATGCATCTTTTCAGATTAGTCCATAGCGACGACGGTTATAAACCTGCAGGACACTGTGACAAATTCCACACTGCTTCTAAAATAACCTGTGCAGGCTTAGATTTCCTACTCCCACCTGCAGTACATGTAGGTCATTCCACTCACACAGGACAAACCTACATGTATGTGTACATGTTTGATTGGTGTGCCTGAAACTGTTTGCTACATGTAAATTCAACTTTGAAATGTTTATTAATTTAAACAAAACAAAACAAAATAAAAAACCAAGCAACTCACAATTTCCATTAACTGTGCCATGCAAAAAATTAAAAAGTTCAAGCAAATTTTCACCACCACTGCCATCTTTAAACTTGCTGATAAATACATGTAACGATAAGTTGAAAAAAGATTTTTTTTTTCACAAGATTGTGGACAAACAGTTTAAGACAGTCTCCCTCAATGCCCGTTAGTCATTATAAATCTTTACTGCAGGTGAACACATCTTTTTATTTCCTTACAAAACATTGGGTACTATTGAGACTTGCATGGTCTCACAGGTGGCATTTATCTGGCACATGCGCTGGTTATGCCTTCAATGAAACTGTGTCCTCAGCCCATCACGAGTAAGTCAAGTCAGTTTTCGCAAAATATCCAACTGTAGTTTATACCTGTACATCTGATGAAGTTTTAAGCCCAACTGAGGGAATTTACACTGATTTCTATGAGCACTCAAGCTGCAGTTCACGCATGGCATTTTTCTTTTGTGCAAGTGTACATTTACCCGGCGCAGTCACTGAAAAATTGAATCCTTGAAACCTTACTTTCAAAAATTTGACACTGGACTGCATTCCACAAAATTGTTTTAAAATGTGAACAAGACCCATGACTTGTGCACTTGAGGCTGAAAAAATCACAAGACACCTTTAGCACTGGAAAAAAAATATGAGGCTTTGGAACAGTCATTGTTCATGAGCAAGCCATTTCCAATCATGTCCCCTTAAATCCACCTTATCCGGTGTAACCTGTTGACTGAGGTACAAGTAGGTGCCAGACAATTTTTTATTCCAAGGCTCACTCTTGCTTTTTCTTAAATTGTTACTCAAAAGTGTAGCAATGGTTTCACCATCAATTTTACATTAATTGTCAGTGTGAACTGTTCATTTGCAATGCAACTGTATAGTATTTATTGATTTTATTTCAACTCTACAGGTAGGTTCCAAAGTAAACTATTAACCTACATGTACATATGTACCATAGCTTCCAATTCAGTATGTCCGACTTGTGAACATGTATCTTCCTTATCTGTTAGGGACCTGGGGGACAATGCAATGACAATGCTATCAACGATGACTCATTCGCAGAAATACATATCAAAATCCACAGGTACACTTTAGCAGTGTACATCTGACCTGGAGCCACTGCGGATGTGAAAGCAAAATTGTTGGCATATTTTCAAATCAGTCATGTGCAATCCATTACCCGCTTTCCAGAAAATTGGCCGACCAGAAAATGTCACATTTCCTTTAAGCACTAACTGCCCCTTGTGGATGATTAAAAACCCAGAGATGTCTGTGGCTGGCCCAACTGAGCTGAGTTTGTGTGTTTTTCGTTTTTCTCCCCATTTTGGAAGGTGACCTCCAGTGACACTGGATAGGCAACTCATACAAACATCCTGACAAGGTGGCAGGCAGTGATTGGGACGTGCCAAGCATGATTTATGGGTGTATACTAAGTCTTCCCAATGCCCACTTGCAATGGAAAGTTCACAGGCCCACTAGAAGGGGGCCCACATACACCAATACATGCACCTGTCAGAGACAAGATGTATTCCCTGAAATTCAAGAATCGGATCATTTCTTGAATGAATGAATGAATGAATGGAATATTTACATTTCCTGGAGACTACACAGAAACATTCAGTACAAAACATGTACATGTACCACATACATGTATTGGTCTGACATGTCTAACTAAAAAAACGAACACAAACCAACATACCAAATGATTCACATACATGTACATGTGTAATTCTTCCGACATAATGAAAGTTACCGTCTTGTTCTGTACATGTACCAATATGTACCGTACCTGCACAGGTCTTCAAAATGATTTGAGAGGTTACCTTAGCAGCCTTATGAATAATAAACACATTGATGCGACGAACGATGCCGACTGTCACAACTTAACTTAAATCTGAAATAATCGTAACCGGCATATACGCACGTACACAATGCTTTTGGACTCCGAGCCAACAAAACCATTCCATTGCTAGCTCCAGGCAACTCTTATGGGAACACTGTGCATGGTCAAAGTTTAAGTATATGTACATGATGATTAGTGTCCGCATCTGGAAAATTGTCAGTTTGATTGATAATTGTAGTCATTTTTTTCCCTCCTTAACCCACCTTCCTAGCTACTCCCGTTACAAAACTATGGCTCATGCAGATGTTCCATACGGAACACAAACCGGTACGAGTACATGTACATGTAGCAGGTTTCACTTCAAGCATGAAACTGTTTCACTTTAGATACCGGTATACAGGAGTAGTATGACTTAACTCAGCCTCTATAAATTTATAGCTGTGGCAATGTGGCAAAGCCTCATAGGCATAACCTCAGATGAACCATACCTCCTGCCTCGACAGCCAGACATGACATACCACATGAAAAAATTTCGCATTATGACAGGCTGCCTTTCCCACATCCTTTTCAAGCTAACAGAAAAACAAGCCAAGCTAAGAAAAACTCTTGCCATGAAATTCTACAGCCCTGCACCTTCCGTGTTGCATCTTACATGTGGCATTATTTGCACACTGGGCTCTAAATGAATGCGACAGTCAGAAGAGTGCAAAAGACCATGCTTAAAGTCTCATCACAAGCTCCTGAATAAAAAAAAAATTAAAAAGTTTTGAAAAGTCACACATTATAAAATCCCTATCCGCTCCACCGTACACAGTGGAATCAAAACTTAATTCAGAAAGTGACATACAACTGTATGCAAAATACTGTACATGTACATGCACATGTGTACACAAGTACATGTATGTACATGTACATGTATGCATGCAAGCCTTCCACCTCTCTCGCCTGCAATGACCTTCCTGATCTCAGAAATTATGTCAAGGTCACCCCCTACTGAGCTCTCAGTTCTGAGTTTGACAACAGTTACTTTCTTACTCACACAACTCTATTGCTGTACTCAGAAAGCGGGTGCAGGATATACCAACATGTAAACAAAAACACAGCACATACATATAGCGGTGCATGCATGTTCCACCGGTACACGTTCATTGATTCAATGCATGCCTACATACATGTACATGTAGGTTTACATTTGGATGGGTCTTTTACATCTGATTCCCATCATTCGGCAGATTGGCTGACAGGTTGAAGAGAAGCCGAATGCCTTAGGGGCATTCAAAATTAGAACAGCAAAATGAGTGCAAAATTATGCAAAATTTGGATGATGAAAATAGATCATACATGTAAATGCATTACAGCAAGGACAGTAAAAACTGATGTTTAAAAGTATTGAAAAACGTGTACCTACATGTACATGTATCACACACAGATTTTTCTGGTATCTTCATAGCTCAAGTTTGTAAAAGAAACAAAATGGGATGAAAACTCTTCTTAGCATTTAACATTTGATTTTGTACATACATGTAGTAAATTTCCACATGAACGTACGGTACATGTGCATGTGCATGTATGTCCGGCACTACAATCACTTATAATGCTCATCCTGCCTGTGCATGTTCTCCTTCACAAGGTACAAAATACAAAATGCTTAGTTTATTACCAAAATAATCATGATCCTCCTTACTGTATTTTCATCACCCATCACCCCTTATCAAGAAGACCGGAAAGTCCCAGAAGGCAATCAGTAAAGCCACAGCTTAATAAGGGTTTCTTTAGTAAAAAACACGGAAGATCTGTAGATCTGCAATGTAAAAAAATAAGACTGCAATTCCTGCTTCCTGCACGGCCAACTTTGCCAAGTTTCCTGTTAACCTTGGAAAGTGGAGGAGTGGTGAGTGGGGAGGGGGTATCTAGGGTCACAAACTAATTGAGTCACACCCACCTCCTCAAGTTGCAGACGCTGTGCAATGGTATCCAGACAGTCTTGTCCCAGACTCTCTGATGTCAGTGTTAATTCCAACAGAGTGTTATCCAAGAGCTGAATTCGGACAACAAATGAGTTTTTGCCGGTCACATTGTACCGCCGTGTTTTCTTCAGCCGCAAGCCGAACGGCATGTTGACGGTTTTTCCTCACAGCGAGGTACACAGCTGAATTGACGGGTGTTGGGTTTTCCTCAAATTACACTCAATGTCTTGAAGTTCGTTTGGAAATGCATTGCACATGCACTAGTGTCAAACGATATGCATCTCTCCAACGAGATGGCCTGTGATACATGGTTGATACCTAGAAAAATGAAACAAAAACCGAGGATGTAGGCATGGTGAATAACAATAATAATGAAGAATTCTATAGCTCTGGTATTTGCCATAAGAGGCATTCATTGTGCTTGCTCCGATTTTATCCCAGTCTGTTGTCTGACTGTAAACAATTGTCCATGAACCAGAGGGTTCAAAACTACAGTGGGGCAAGGAGATGTATTTTTAGCATGGACTTGAATGTTTCTAAAGAGTCAGCAGCTCTGATATGAATGCCTGAGTATACAAAAGCTCTGGTGTAGCCACTTGAAATGACTGAGACCCCCCGCAAGTTGTTGGCCCTGTGTTCAGCATGACTATGAAGTACAGTTGCTCTGGTTTCCTTTCACCTCCATTACAATGTTACCAAATACAGGGGGCTACCGGTACTTTGAATGGCAGTGCTGATATTCAATTTTGCATTACACTTGTAAAATCTGTTACATGACAACAGTATACGGCAACTGAAAAGAATCCAGGCTTAATCATGCCAATTAAATCCAGGCTGGGACATTTTGCACTGATATCTTTAGACACTTTACTGGCTGAAGATCCTTATTTAGTCATGTTTCTAACGCAATCAAAGGCATTTCCAATGTTGTTGCACACAAGCTATAGCATCAGTCTAACTATTTTAGATGGCAATCCAGCTGGACCAGGCATTGACAAATCTCAACAAAAGAAAATACAGTGTCTCAACCTTTTTCAATTTATGTGGTTCACATTCGGCAAGAAAGTGTTAAAATGTTAAAGAGGCTGACACCGGTTTCTGAGAGTGAGAAGATAGACCAAAAAGTTAGTTTAAAAAATACAGCATGTAGGCCCTATGGTGTGTATTTTAAAACATGACTTGATAGAAAGAGACAATTTCCCCATTCTCCATTCCAGGTCAACTGGCCCGGAAAAGTACCAAACCATGCTGGTGAGAAATATTTGTGTTTAGTTCAATGCCGGTCACCCCCCCCCAGTGTCAAATTTACAAATCAACATCATCGGGTACCAGATGTACATGTATGAAAAAGGATGAAGATGCACTGTCCTGATCCCACATCCATGAAATCTACATTCATCATGTTCATCACTTTTAATTAAAACTGGTTAGGGTGCCTAGGCCTATTCCAATCCAGATTAGAGCACCAGTGCGGCTGTGAAATCATAAAATGTGCCTTGGAACAACAGAATGCTACAAAGTGCAATACATTCTAAATAATGTCGACTACCATGGCAACGTATCTGTACTGTCAATGTCTGTGGCACATCATGACTGTACAGCACAGTACGGACTTAACGTTAGTAAATAAGCAAGGTAAAGACGTTCAAACTCACAGCTGCATGTTCAAGCGAGGCGTAACAACAGAGTCTAGACACAAAATGAACGGGAAGCTATTGCGGCAATCGTCAAGACCGAAGAGAAATCACACATTCTGCAAATTTAGTGACTTGGCTGTACTGCCAATACTTACAGAGGAGCAATCGTCTGTATTGTTAAAAATCCAAGATTCACCATCCTAGTTTGGTCATGTTATCCTGTAAGAATGAAGGCTGTACTCTGCCACCACTTGCCGGCTTACAGTGCAGAAGCGTACATGTGTATAGCCAGCTAGCAATTTGGTACACATGTATAACAACTTGCTGCTACGCACGTCAGCCGTTTCACACAAAAACAGTCTAATTCCGCCGGAACTAATTCATCTTATTGAAAGTTGAAATGGCTGACAATAACTTCCTCCAAATGCAGCGAAGGAGACCATGTGCTTCCCCTATGGGCTTGAAGTGACTCCCTTGGAATCGTTTAACTTGTGTTGTGTCAGAAAAATTGAAAAAATGTAGGGAGGTCATCAATCTACAGGTGTTATTGTATCGCTCCGCATGCGATGAATGACTGGGGAATGTCTGCTATGCGATTTGCGTGAGAGTGGTCTGTGGTTGGTCGGGTTTGCGTCTCAACCTGGTCTCATTGCCATACCGCTTAGAGAGTTTGGTCACGGATCGAAAGTTTGTCATCTGATTCATTGAAGCAGAAGAATGGCTGAGCATTATTGAGGAATTTGTCGCGTCAGACGTGACAGTGACGAAATTTGATGTCGACTAACCGTCACGGGTTCGGAAAGATTTGTGTAATGTTCGGGGAAATAAGGTTCCAAGTACTCCGGAGGAGAGACGATTTGAAAGCTTTCAGACTCCCACTTGTAGGGAGAGCTTCTAAAATTACTCAGTGAGCCCTACGAGTATGAACCCCAGCTATGATGGCCACAATTTCCTTGAAACTTAAGCAAAAGTTTCAACGATTCTTATCGTTAAAGTTTCGGACAAAAAGATCCAGACAAAATGATAATAAAGCCTTACCCTGAACTAGTCCAGATGAACCATTCCAAAAGACGCCTCGATTTATTATTTTGTTAACGAATTGTCCTGATTGATAAAGAACTTATGTATACTTTTACCAAGAGTCAAGAATCATGGACGCCGGGCTACTTGTCTTTGCATAGGTTGCCCATGATGAAGCAAAGCCCCATAAACAAAAATTTAAAAGAACTTGTTACCCTCGACCCCACGCCCTCCTCTTCTGCTAATCTTTATAAATAAGTTCCGATTCTTTGCCTGCAGTCGGGTACATTGTGACAATTAGGTTTTTCCTACGGTATAAAAATCAACCCTCTGGTGAACAGCATTGTTTTCCTCACATCTGATAAAAATGCGCAGTTTGATAAAGGGGTCAGTTTGTTATGAGGTTCAAACTGTATGCGACCACATTTTTTTTTCACTATATTTTTTTGGCGGCGTTAGTTTTCCTACCCCATGGAACAACTTGCTTCGGCTGGGCATGGCACACGCACCTTTGGAAGCAGCTCGCTTGTGGCTCAAGTTCACACATCCAAAACACAGGATACAGCGATGCATGCATCATTGGTAAACTGTGGCCAAGTGACTCTGACGCAGCCGTCAGCTTATTTCTGGCCGTCTGGGGGCGCTCTCTCAACTTCACAACTGACTAAAAATTCTTATTTCGATTCGCGATAGCCAACGTGGAGCAAAACTATCCCGAATCAAACAAAATGCAGCGCTGGAGAGCTGTTGCTTCAACCCCAAGTCCTCAATCCCCCAATTTCAATATGAGTTTACATACACTCTGGGGAGTTAGTTAAGGAATCCTTCTCAAAGTTATAAATCTTTCTTTTTTTTTTTTTTAAATTTACATTCAGAATTTTCAATTCTGTTCATGATTACGTTTTTTTCACGTTCAATTTCGTTTTTTGGGGAGGGGGGGCTTTGGCTTTGCCATTCGGGTTCGTATTGCTAATTACATTTTGTTTATGGGCAATCACGACTACATTTGTACCATTCTTTAATGAGTCTCTGCCCGTCTTTTCGGTTCTTTTCCCAACTAGTGTAATCCAATTAAAAGCCATCGAAGCATGCAAGATCTTTTATTTTTGCGTCCTCTTTTTTTTCGTTTCCGGTACGTTTATTTTACGCTCTTGAGTGTTCGACTTCGACGCGACATGGACTATTGGAGTGCTACCTGTCTTTATATGCTTTATCTTTTGTTTGTGTCTGCGGCAATCTCTTGCATGGGTGTAAACTTTCCGGGGGGGGGTGATGGGTATATTACCCACTCACCCTGCTCAATACTTTTTATTATTTATTTATTAGTGCTATTGGGAGGTGGGGAGATATATACAATTCCCCATCCCCACCCAACCCCCAATTTCTGGCACACTTTATTTCTGAAACAACTTTAGGAGGTTACCGATTTTCATCTTAACTGAGCTACAAACCTTAAAATTTGTTTTTTTTTGTAGGTGTTCAGACTTGAATGTGAAAAGTGAACAAAAGTTCCGGAAGACAATAGTCTAGAATGTTTTGCTTAAAACGTCCGAGAAACCTATATTATCTGACATCTCTGTTGGCACATTTACAGCTTCTGGTGATAATCAATAGTCCGGTGCACCCATTCACATTTCAAAACGTTGACTACTGTATGACTGAAAACATCATGGAAGGTCAAATACAAGCAACGGTACAGTACACAGTTACATTCAGTAAAATCCTCAATCGCAAACTTTTTGAAATCCAAAATCTCTTTTAGGTTGGGAAATCTCATGTTAATTTGAAATGTAATTTCGACTCTGAAAGAGTTCAGTTTCCTATCCTTTTCACCAGTGCAACAGTGCATGTGATTTGAGGAAGGTAGACCGAATTTGAATAAAGTATGCATATGCATGGTCATACACCAAACTTACAAAAGTTGATAACACATATTGAATATTTTTTATTTCACAAAAAGAATTTCTTAAACCAACAACAAACGAATATAATCAGTAGACATAATTTTTCATAATATCAATATTATTTTCTCATTTTGTTTACAATTTTTAATGTATCCGTCATAATCAACACAAACTCTCATCCTTGGACTAAATCGTAAAAGCTATCTTAACAATGCAATACATTTTTACTTTAGCAATCCTCGGCCAAAACAATTTGAGGACTCTACACAAACATGTTTCTTGATTAACTTTGGCTGGAAAATCATCTCTTTATCACATACCCCTCTTTTGACTGTTCTCCCCTAGCAGTGCTTGATGAATCCACCACAAGCAACAGACTATTATTTGACAAGAGCGCTCCTGTGTCATTGCTCACCCTGTTACTCATGTCTCGTCTTGTGGAGACTTGGACTGTACTTGAGCGGGTACTTATGAAAGGACTTGTGGATGGGACCATCTTTCAAAGAGTACAGATCAAATGCTACGATTGGAGGAATCTAATCTTACTAGATGCTGACAATCAAACTCTTTCATCCAAGGAAAAAATCTTTGCATAGAGCTGACATTTGGAACAATTAGTAAAATATATTCTGAAATGGTATTAATTACTTCACCACTTTGGTTCACTTCCTTTAATAATTGTGAAGTCAATACAGGTGTGTTTCAAAGTCAATTAACAAATACGTGTACTTAGACATGGACCCACATTTTCGAACATTCGAATCAGTTAAATGTAGAGAACACTATTGACTTTTTACCAGGAATATAATGAATTATGCCATTTTATACGACTTTTAAACAAACACAAAAATGTCAACCAGACATTCCCAATCTCCTTTTTCCAAGTCCACATTACAACCCTTAAAAACGTTTAAAGAAATTGATGCATCATGACTTCACACTGTTCTGCGCTGCACATTTGAGCTGAACTGAGCAATCTACGGCTATGAATTCCTTTTTTTGCAGTGGGTACACAATATTGGGCAGCCTTAGCCACACAGAGCCGGTACCTTGTTTGGGATGTGCTATCATTCTATGCTTCAGAATTTTAACCACTTCACACCTTTAGACAGAACCACTTGAAATCATTTTAACAGTAGAAATGTTTACAGCCTCACTTGTCCAAGAGATGCTTTGAATCTGAGAGTCTGAATTTTAATTTCACAATTTTTTGATTGACCACATTTGTCAAGGTTTACTCCCTTATTTACAATTCCTTTTGCCCTAAGGACAATGTTTAAATCTTTCAGTGTTACTCGATTTGATTAATTAATTGTAAGCACAGTCAAAACGAAACCTTGGGTTAAAAAAGAACAGCACGAAATGCACAAAAGGCTAACTAAAATGATGGAAAGTGATCAATGCATAATTGCCTTGTTCTGATACAGCTTTTATTGCCATGATTTGTAATCATTTATAAAGAACAAACCCATCATTTTACACTTTGATTAGTTACACGCAATGAAAAAAATCCGCAGCTGTCATATATCATCAAAAAGTGTCTTCTGGTGAGGAAAAAAAAATTGGAAAGTGCCATTTTCTTGAATTTTCTTTTCTTGGTCATGTTGCAGACAGACTCAGAGGAAAAAAGAAAGGTTTTTGTTCTTTAAAACTGCAGGATAAATACAAAGATAGATTCACTTTTACAGTTGCAAATACCAGTGAATTACATGCACTGTAAAGACATTTCAGCTAGTTGAAGCTCTTAAGACAGACAGTTTGCTCCTGTATTAATGTCGATTAAAGAGAACCAGCATACACAAGAAACATCAGCTGCCCTTTGTTTAAAATCAAACATGAAAAGGGTTCAACTAATCTACACCTCCACCCCTCCCCCCAAATAATCAAAGCTCTGTGGCCTTAAAACAAATCTCAAAGCTATTTCGAGGGTCGAAATCATTCTAGGGTTTGGAATATTCATCCCAGAGGTTTTTCAATGACATGTATATAGTAGGATGGGGTATCGCCTTCCTTGAATGGCTTGAAGTCTCCGAAGACTGAGTGTACGGCGTTCTCTCCAAAGCTTTTCTTGAGGATGTCTGTGAAGGCATTCAGGCGGTGAGGGTAGTAGGAAAGACGGAATCTGTGAATGAAAAATCACAGGAACAGAAGGCACACAAATTGTCAGCCTTTGCTCACTAGCAGGACAACTGTTCGTCTTGGTTTGCAAGTAAATCAGAAAATCACATCAGTGCAACGCAAAGCCTAGGACATGTATGTATTAAAATCTGAATCTCCAAACAACACACAGTTCTGTCAAAACTCATTAAGTCTAGTACCCAGAGATATCTCTTGGGACAAAAAAAACTACATGTACACTCATGTATATGGCTTTACCACAGAGGACGGAACATAAAGAGAGCAAAAGATTACTCCCAGTCCTTGGCAGTTAGGCTACTGTCCTTGGTAGTAAGTGACTGTGCTTAGTCTATAGGAGGGTGTTATTTTACAACTACTGGAAATGCGATGCCCTCTCTTGGTGGTGTCTGCCCAGGCTTTAAGCACTCCTTTGTTGGCAAACACGCGACAGACTGGGGGAATCATTTCAACTAGGAGGCCAATACACGCGTAGAGATTTACATTCCTTTAGAAACTGACTGCACTTGGTCTGTGCACCCAGTGACAAACAAACAGAAAACTGGGACACGCGCAGTGAGTTCCAACTAAAGGACCACTGTTGCTGACTAACAGCATGTCATGGCTTGTTCAAGCACAAAGTTGATGAGAGGGTCATCCATTGTTTTTTTTTTTCATCATTTTCACGAGGGCTTTGCGCAGGCTTTCATAAAATATCGGAAATACTGATTATTTTCCTTTCCATTTCCGTGGGGGCAGGGATACAGAAAATAAGAGCACCCTCTGTAGGCTCATGACAATGACGAACAAAATTGATGGCCCTAACAAGCTATGTGTAGCTATAATTAGATTTGTATTTAAGTGTAGATGTAATTAATTTTTCTAAGAGACAGTTTCTCTGCAGCTCTGTACTCTTCTTCGATATATGGAACACTTTTACACTCCTACTTGGTTAAATGAACTGAAAAGTGCACATCTTTAAACACTTAAAATTATCCATGCTTTCCTGGACAACTGAGGGCGCTGTTGCTGTGATGTCATCTAGGGAAGACTCGAATCATTGCATAGGTTTTCTGTTCAAATTGTGGACTCAGAATTTACTGAAAACATTTTTGAGAAAAGGATTGGTGCTTACTTATTGCTGTACACCAAATCAACAAAAACACAGCATTTTTTGTGTACAAACCAATGTAATACTTAGGCTTTCTTCCTGGAAAGGCAGTGTGGTTTTGCTCATGAATATGGAGACACCCATCACCACAAAAACAAAAAGGTAATAAAATATCCTTCGAAATATTGAAACAAAATGTGAAAATAGGGCTGAGACACAAAGGTACATTTTGACGGTCTGCAAGAAACTGATTGCAGCTAACAGGGGGCCAATTTCATAGAGCTGCTTAAGCGCAAAAAAAAATTGCTTTAAAAACAAAAGTTACCAGCCAAAACTCCATGTGATGTATATTGTTTTGGAATGGTATTCACCTGTCTTTTGGTTAGCATGACAATCACAGATTTTAAGCTGGCAACCTTTGTTTTTTAAGCAAGCTTTTATTGCGCTTAAGCAAATTTTGTGCTTAAGCAGCTCCAGTTGAAAGTATGCATTATACTGTTTGCGTTGGTTCTCCACTGGAATGGGTGAAAGTGATGATGATGGATCACTCACTTGTAGACTGGCTCATCGAGTGCCAGTTTCTTGCGAACCTTCTCCGATTTTGCCAACTCATTCACGGTGATGAAGTAGTCCAACGTCACCATGGATGGCCGGCCGTTGACATACAGCACCGATGTCTGGATATCTTTGATACAGTTACCCTGGAAACGAGGCAAAGGAAGAGAATTTCAAATGCCGCATACTGGAAACAACTCTTCTTGTTAAAGGTAGTTGATGGATACGGAAGGGAATATCAGGAGAGGAGACAATGAATGTCCGCATATGGGGGGGGGAACCGACATCCGAAATCTACAGGGGAGGGAGCAATGGACATCCACTGGATGGTATTTGCCCTTTCCTCTCCGCTTACATCAATGTCTACCTCCCTCACCTTGTAATAGATGTTTTTAATGGGGGCCCGTCCGGTGTCTAAGATGGCATCATAGTTTCGATGGTCGATGATCAGAATGCCGCCGGGCTTCAGCATGGTGGCAAAGTTCCTGAGGGCCACCAGCTGGTTCTCTTGTGTGCCTTCGAAGTCTGGCAGATGGGCAAAGGAGTTGCCCAGGCAGATGATGGCATCAAAGCCGTCTCCTTCTTTGGAGATGTCGTGCGGTAGGGTCAGCCAATTGGCTACCTCGATTTCTGTGGTGAGGCAGACATCATGAAACTTACAAATCATTGCCGATGCTGACTGTTCTTCAGTATTCGAGGCACTTCGTGGTTCACATAATTGCATAACTTCACAATGCATGAGTTTGTTATACTGACAGGTCTGAAGCATCTCATCTGTGTTTACGTTATTGCACAAAAATACCACCTGTCACCTCCTGAAATGAAAAGGTAACAGAAACTGAAAAAATTTAGTTCACATGAAGTATATCAAAATAACAATAAGTACGTAACCTTTTCAAAAACATTGTCAATTTAATGTTTACCCCATTAATTGTGACTCCAAAATGAATAAAAAGATCCTGCGTTTCCACGCCCACAAAAATCCCCTTTTGGCCGTTCCTGCTCCCAGGCTGACTGCATGATGTTATCGCCAGAATGCAGACATGTACAGTGTACATGTACATTGCGCACAGTATATGCAGTCTAGCATGCTTGCAATAGATCCCGTTGTGTTTGATGTAGCCTGGCCCACAGGCCAACACTGTCTCAGTTCAAGAAATACAGGGTAGGAGTGTGTCTTTTAATTTCTGCATGTGCTGTGTGCAATGTACATGTACAATGTATCTGTCAGTGTTCTGGCAATGACATCATCCAATCAGCCTGGTAACGCGAATGGCCATAAGGGGATTTTTGTGGGCGGAGAAATGCAGGATCTTTTTGTTCATTTTGGGGTCACAATTAATGGGGTAAATATTAAATTTACCATGTTTTGAAAAGGTTACCTATAATTGTTATTTTGAAGTACTTCACATGAACTAAATGTTATCAATTTCTGTTACCCTTCAATATCAGTGCCCTCATAAACACTCATTATTTTGTATAACATGACACACCTTGCAGAGTAACCAAAAGCTATCCTTGTTCATTTTTTCTGACTAGTATACATGTACGACGAACATCCATTCAATTGGCCGGTGGGCTCCAGCAAGAATGAGAAGAGGTGGCTTTGTTAGGCAAGCAGTAAAAAATTCCTTTTTGGACAACACCAAAAGTCAGTGATTGCACTTCTCTGGTTGATAAGGTGTGTTATTATGAAGCTAAGACAGTCTACGAGCCTTTCAGTTTGTTTGCTAGTGATGGAGTACTTTCTATGTGGAACCCTTATCTATTGATCTGTCCTCTCCTGCCTATGAAAACAGATTAGTATGCTTACATACTGGGGGATATCGAGACGAATGGTTGAGTAACAGGTATACATGTATCTACCATCAATCTTTCAGTTTCTCTTCGGAGTCGACATTGGCAGCCCTGCAAACACGTAACATACAACGCAGTTAAAATCCACCTTGTGCCAAAGCACTGACCACCTTGACGACCTACCCCATTTGTCAAAGCAGTCTTCCTTTCGTCGTTCCCATCTCTCCCTAAACGCGTGAAGGACCATCTTGTCTGATGCATCACAGCTCATGACTTGAAACCCTTCCTCCAGCAACATCATAGAGTCAATTCTATATTGTACAAAATTCACAGGTGTTGCAACGGTCATAAACTGATTGGTGATGTCTAGCCAAATTTAGCACTGGCAACGGGAGACTAAGAGATGCTCGGTGGTGGCACTCATACCGGTCCTGTGTGACCAGTACACCACTGTTTGTGTCTTGCTTGAGCTACTGAGTACTTTACAGGATTGGGAAAACGTTGAAGTTAAGCAAGGTTTTACTCAGGGAAAAAGCTTGATTTAATGATAAGGAGAATACTGAATAGAGCCTTTCCTTATTCCTAAATATCCAGTGACAGTTTTGAATATATCATTAAAGCTCAGTGTTGGTTATTAACTTCACATTTTACCGTACATTTAACAAACATATTTTTACCTAAATACTATATTCAACATCAACAAATAAATTGCAAACACGTTCATCAGTTTGAAATGTCCAGTGTTCTCCACTGGCTGTTTTAGCAGGGCAGACCGCCTTGCCAAGATTTTGGGCTGCCCCGCTATTTTGAGTAGTGTGTTTTCCCCCAAATCTCTACTTTCTCAAGATTTTGATAAAAAAGAGGTTTACCACAGTTTGTGGATCGAGTTTGAGTTTACCGACTGCGCTTATGATGTACTGACAATGACAAGGAACACCAAGAGTTGAGAGCAGCACGAGTCTATATGCGACGTCGCGTTATGTAAGGCATGTGTATTGGTGTAGACTGGTCCCTCTCCTCCCGTATAATGCATTTTCAAATGTACTAGCGTCGAAAACCAGTTTATTAAAGTAGAAATTCCTCAGCGCAAGAGGGTGTATTTTTTGGAAACTAGGCTGGGTCTAAATAACATGGTTATGGCCTGATGTTACTTGCCAGTCTATGTAGAGAGGCCGCAGTCAGTTCCCAATTCGTCAACGTGTAATTTAAAGCCACAGCCCAATGAACGAGTTGGATCTCAGGTGATTGATGGCTGCCTATCGTTATGCATAGTCAACCTCGTGTCCCGAAAAACCATCGCGTATGTTTTGTACATGTACACGTACATTGTATTGCGCAAGCGTGTGCATGTACATGCAGTGCATGTGACTGGTACCCGCGGCGCAACATTGTTTCGCACAGTGTGCGCGGTGCCAGTGGAAGGACCGTGCCATGCCTGGGTGGCCCCAACGCTCTGCTCCGATGGAGGGGTTGCTTCATTTTTATGACGTGAGCTGGAAATTGTAAACTCATCTTTGAACATTTTTCTTTTCTCCTTTTTTATTCAAGGGCGCATTTGGAGGCTTGTTTTTACTCTACCTTTTCACAGTCAACTGATCATTGAGAAAACCGCATGTTCTGCTCATCTCAAACATGTCTCGAATCACTAAGATGACTAAGGTTCTGCTAAAAATGCTACGAAAATTAAAATAATTTCGTCATCAAATACTTCAATGAAAAAATTCCTCCTGAAGAATATCCTAGCCAATATTTCACGTTGTAAATGCATTAAGATTTGGGTCAAATTACAGATGAAAGTGGACTGGAAATAGCCCCAGAGTGCACCACAGAGCATCTAGAATCCAAAATTTTCCGAGGCCCTTAAGAGGGCCCCAGACCCCATCCCGTAAGGGCTTCGTGCTTCCTGCTCGTAATTTTGTTTACCACCCCTGCCAACATATTCAGCCGTGGAGAACACTGAATGTCTATGAAAATGATTATTTTTGATGGCAGATTAATAATATACAAGTCAATTGCTAGAACAACCTTTCATGGTTGGTACTGCCACACTGATTTACTCTCACAAAAAAAGGGGGGGTGGGTGCCTACCCTGTTCCACAAGCCACATCAAGGATGTGACTGCTCTGCCTCGATTTCAAGAGATCCACCAGAAAATGCCGGTAGCTGTCAGTTCTTTCTGTCCGGCTGCCAATGTAGTACTCCCAAACTTTTGCGGCTTTGCCATCAGCATACTGATCAGGAATACCCTGGGCCGCAACACCAAGGGAACGAGTACGATAGATGCTGTCCACCATGATCAAGTTGAATCTGTGCAGAGGAAAAACTTATTTGCAGTTGATGGTCTCTTGTTCTCTGAGGAAAAAAAACCAGGCTAGAAATTGGAACTTGTTCATTTACATGTAAATGTGTTACGCTTCCCCGAAAAAAAAGCCTGCAAAGCACCACAAAGATACACATTCTAATCACATCAGATCACCATTTTAGAGGCTTTCTCTGATAGTGAATTGACCAAGACTAAAAAAAATCACCCTCTAATTTTACATGCACTTGAAGTCACTGCTTCACAGTAATGACTTGGCTACCCTCTCGTTTCATATGACGATTACAATGTACATGTATATTTGCAGAAGATGTCTTTTCACGTCAATCTTTCCTTTTCTGTGACCCTTTCTATGACCACAAAACTTACTCGTAACATACTATAAAATGCAGTGTTGGAGCAAGGCAATGTTATATGACTGTGTTCTGGATGTTACATACAGCTCGCCTTTTACTTACTCTCAGTTCTCCCCAATGATATATTTGCTGGGATTTGAATACAACACGTTGCTGTGCGTTAAACAGTAACTTGATGCTGACACTGCACACTGCAGCGTAAACTTAAAAACAGAGGCAGAAGTATTAAGACGCACTTAATTCATACTAAGACCAACAGATATCGATCATTATGCTTGCAGTTGCACCATGTAGAAGAAAATTTCTCTTTTGTGAGTGTGTGGTTCTGAGAAGAACCGATGGTGAACACTCGACATTCCGAAAGGTATGCTCTGTTCGTCTTCAGGAGGGCAAGTAGCATTGTTAAAAATGTGCTAAAACCACTAATTTTTCTCTACAGAGAAAAATGTGTTTAAAACCCGAATTTAGCAGTGAAATTATTCAGGTAAAAACACTTAACGTCCCAGACCATACAGTGGCCAGGTCCCTAATGTCGCCACCTACATGTACTGCTGATCAATATCGCAAAGCTCGATTCAGAAACAAACAGGCACAGCATTAGGTAGCCCCACTAGTGTGGCACGGACTCTCACTCCTGATCCATCCTTAGCTACACATCCGTATACACAATTTCGTGTCGGAATACTGTTCTGTTTTCTAAAAACCATTTATTGAATGTTTCACTCACGTTATTCAGGTATTTTCCAGTCTTTTTGCCTTTATCCATTCAATCTAATGGGGCTCGCTCTCTCAGTCGCCATCTTTAAAATAAGATCGTTGAACATTATGTCACTTGACCCCTCATCGTCTCGACGGCTGTTCCATGTCAAGACATGTAATAAACGGGTGAGTGATAAGATACTACATGTACCAATGGACTCTTCCAAAACTTTGGCAGCAGTTTAGATGTCTTGACATGAAAGACCCATCGAGACGATGAGAGGTCAAGTCACGTAATGTTCAACGACCTTATTTTAAAGATGGCGACTGTGAGAGTGAGCCTGTTAGATTGAATGGATAAAGGCAAAAAGACTGGAAAATACCTGAATAACGTGAGTGAAATCATTCAATAAATAGTTTTTAGAAAGTGGAAAGGTCAAGAATCATGTTCGTGTGCAAAAGAAATTGCGCCAACGATGATAAGTGGGTGCGCCGAAAATGTTCAGTACGCCGACACGAAATTGCGTAGACAGATGTGTGGCTAAGGATGGATCGGGAGTGAGAGTCCATGCCACACTAGTGGGGCTAAGTGTTAGGATACCATGAACATGTAAACAACCATGGTCACACATACTTCAAGAACTCAAAGTCACTATTCCATCACATGGAGTGATGACGGAGTAGTGACTTTGAGTTCTTGAAGTTAAGTAGGTCACACAGAGTAGTTCAAGTAGATCAAGGCAACATGAACTACGCTAGTTAACAAAATGGGTCACAGCAGTGGCTGTGTTCATCATGCTCATAGTCATGCCGATGTTCATAAATAAGTGTAAGTTATGGGCGATTTTGCACAATGGTAGAAAGCATTGTGGGAAGGCAAAAGGTGCAAACATTGCCCCTATTCTTTCCACAGTGCCTTTCTATCATGGTGCAAAGTCACTCATGCGGTAGTGCTAGGCCTAGTATTACTATTATTACTGCGAATGGTAATGCATGGTAATGCATGATGCCTCGATCAACATGATCGAACATATCGAAAGAGCACCTTCTGGTAGTGGTTCTACTACTCGGCAAGGTCCAAAAGTCTGGGTGTAATGCCGAGCCTACATTTTCACAATACGCACGTAAAAGCTTTGCCAGATTACATACTATCTCTGCTTGTTTTTCTGTCCTTTTCTTGTGCCAACCCCCTAGCCGTGGCCGTATGTATTGTTGACGAGCGAAATCAGTAATGCGCAATCGGTTTGCTAGCATATGCGGTTTGACAATATCATTCCTACGATCCGAGTCTTTCTTCGAAATTTAATTGGAAAATACACTATGGGGACGCACTGCTCGACAATATGAAAACGAGGTTGGTTGTTTACTCCCACCACTATGCGAAAGTGCATATGGTTGCGTACCTCTTGGACGTTTTGTCGTTGGATTTGCGATTTGTTGAAAGGGTACCAGTCGAATTCGAAGAACTTGTTGTCTCTGTTTTTGGGCTGCGTGATCACTACGGTCTACCTCCACGGGTGAAGCTACACAGACAAATCACAGGCCGTGTCCGAAACGGCCTTCCAGAGCTACGGCTAGGTCAATTGTCTGCGCGTCTCCACGCATTTCCATTGGAGCGAAGACCTAAACTTAGCTCTAGACAAGAGATTCGGATGCAGCGATAGTTTTGGTTTGCGTGTTTCATTGTTGGATGACGTCTTTGTAATTTTGATGCTCTTTGATTTTACCTTTAGTCATATCTTTGTAAATATTTTGGGGTTACAAACTCTTGGTGGCGCACTGTTGTGAAACGGCCGTATTGGGTTGAAAAGTATTATTCAAAAATTACATCAGTGAAACCGCTGAAAGTTTGGAAAATTGATTATTAAGGATTTTAACCCCAAAAGAGCCAGGGTAATTCACCCCTTCAGCATTTCCCCCCCATTATCACAGCATGTCAAACCGAGCCTTAGTGGGTTTGCTCTGTAACCCATGGCCATTTTGACACCACTCTTGTGAAAATAGAACTTACTAGCTGTTCTTGCGCAGCGCCCATTTTCTCCTGAGACAAGTCGGGGAAAAAATCTTTTCTACTGCCATGCACAATGCAAGCGGGCTGGCGCAAGTGGCATTGAACTTTTAATGACCGTAACAACACGACCCATGATAGATTTAGTCGAAACTTTAAATTTGAATCGATACGGCTTTTCTTTACATGCTTGCGAAGTAAACAAACAAACAAACAAACAAACAAACAAACAAACAAACAAACAAACAAACAAACAAACAAACAAACAAACAAACAAACAACCCAACAAACAACCCAACAAACAAACAAACACCCCAACAACCCAACAAACAAACACCCCCAACAACCCAACAAACAAACAACCCAACAAACAAACAAAACAAAACAAAACGGGTATGGGACAGTTGAGTTCTTTAACCTCAAAGAACGATGCGCAAGACTCAGCTTCCCAAAATTTGTGTCAAAACTACCGCATACTGTTACTCTAAAATCTCCTAAAGTTTCAGCTCCTGATGAAATAAAATGCACTGTGGCGATACCGGGAAAAATATCAGGGCGGATTATGTGGGCCCCCCGGCTCTTTTAGGGTTACGCAGAGGAGGAGAAAGCCGCCCCAGCATTCCATGGTCCAAAGTAACCTAGTTATTTCAGGGTTAAGTGATAATATATTTGACACGAATTTTGAATTCCCATGTTTGCTAGAAATAGGGTTAGCCTGCGCTGAGGATTAACTATTCCTAAGCTGTGGTGTACAATCCTCCTTGTACACAGGGCGACCGGCGGTTGACTCAACGCTGCAGTATTTCGTACCGCAATGTAGGGCCTGCCACTAATGTCAATTTTTAACGTCCCATTATTAATTTTTGTTATTTGCGTAATTTTCCTTCCTTTTTTGGAAATGAATATCTTTGAGAGCGTTTTTAATTTGTTACTAGTAACGGGCACCAGATGACAAGAAGGCTAATCTTCTTGTAGTGACCCGATATCCAGTTCTGTTGTTGTGTACCCGGTTCAGACAAGTGCTGGCAGAGTCGACCCAAAATGTTTAAATTTATTTTTGTAATTTTTTGGGAGTTATTTTAACTCCCACATACTGCTTTAAACTTTAAACATTTTAACTATCATAATTCTCAACTTTGAGTGACCGCTGCAGACCCTAGAACCTATTTTTAAGGGCAGCAATGACCGATTCCATCTCTGACCGATTGTATTTTTTATTAAACGGTGAATGGGCCGGCCATACGTGCTCAACAAACTTAGGGGGCGAGTTGGCTAGGGGTGAGTCGGTCAGGGAGCGAGTTGGCTAGGGGGAAAGTTGGCTTGGGGCAAGTTGGTAAAGGGCGAGTCGGCTAGGGGGCGAGTCGGACTTGTATGTTGCTGAAGCGGAATGTCAACTGTCTGACGTTGCCTCCTACGCTAAGGTTGACTGCGACCTTACACAAGAGCATCAACATATTGTTGCCAGCACTATCCCGGCGAAGTTTCATCGACTCTGGTGACCTCCCCCTAACGCAACCAAACTTTTCGTTCCGAACCCAAGTACGGCAGCCTTCTACTTGCTACCCAAAATTCACAAATCCAGGCCGCCCCATCCCATCGTGTCTGCTTGTAGTTGTCCCACTGAATTGATATCCAACTTCCTTGACACCATGCTAATACCCATTGTCAAAACGCTCCCCAGCTACGTCAAGGATACTAATCACGCTCTACGTCTGTTCGATGAATTCAAATTCCCAGGTTCATTCAACTTTCTTTTCACCATGGATGTGAAATCGCTTTTACACACCCATTCCCCACGCGGGTGGTTCAGCTGCGCTCAAACACTATCTAGATCTCCGCTAGGCTCGGGATCCTCCTACCAGCACTCTGCTCCGTCTGGCTGAGTTGGTGCTCACATTGAACAACTTCGCGTTCAACGGTGAGCACTGGCACTACATTCAGACCAGTGGTGTGGCTATGGGCACAGGGATGGGACCAAGTTATGCCTGTCTGTTTGTTGGCCACATCGAGGAGCAGATGCTGACCCAGTATCAGGGCGTGCAGCCGTTAATGTACCGGCGATACATCGATGATATAGTTGGGGCTATCACCAGGACGTGTGGCGATGTTGAGAATTTCTTAGCGTTTGCGGATGCTTTTCAACCAGCACAGTGCTGATGTGTCCCAACACTCTGTTATCTTCCTCGACGTGCGCGTCCAGATCTGTGCGCGGAAAACTTGGCACAACCGTGCATTACATACCCACAGATTCTCACAGCTACCAGCAGTACCAATCGTCTCACCCCCTCAAGTGTAAGAACTCACTCTCAGTTTCTTCGACTGCATTGGATTTGTAGTAGCGATGCGGAATTCTCTGCGCGTGGGAAGGAAATGCTAGGTTTCTTTCATCAGCGCGGTTACCGTCCGGTTATCACAGACGCTGCCTTCAACGCCGTATCTTCAATCCCGCGCAAAACGGCTCTGAAACCCAGCAGGGCCAAGCAAAGTGATCGCGTCCCCTTCGTACTCACATACCACCCTCGAAACATCCCGGCACATAATATTCTTCTCAAATATTTCCGTACACTCGGAAATGATGCGGCCACAGCTTCCATTTTCGCCGAACCCCCGATTTGCGCGTTTAGGCGCGATCGTTCTTTCGGGGACATGGTTGTACGTTCCCGGTTGGATTCCGTCTAGCTCGCCGTCAAAATCAGGCAGTAGTTCCCCTTGTCAGCACCCCAGATGTAAAACCTGCCCCTACATAGTTAACAGCCCGTCGGTCGTCGGCCCCCGCGGCCCCGCGGTAGCTACAGAATACGCGGGGATCATACATGCATTACTAGTAATGTGGTTTATTGCATTACATGTAGTCGCTGGGGTAAACTGTACATCGGAGAGACCAAGCGTCGCCTTCGTTACCGCTTCGCGCAACACTTATGCAGTGTGCGCCAACAAACACCTGGTCTCACAGTTGGGCAGCACTTTTGCGCGCCGCCACATACCCTCAGTGACGTAAGCGTCTGCATCCTGCGGAAAGCGTCATCTGATGTACAGCGTAAGGAACTGGAGCAGCGCGTCATTTTCGAACTTGGAACGCACCAGGGGGAGGAACGTGGATTTTTCTGCGTCCATTCAGAACTGAATCTGCTTGCCCTGAAGAAGATAGTTACCGAAAGCTCGGCAATCACATATTTATGAGCACTGATTTGATATTATATTCTTGTCGTTATTCTGATCACGGTGCTACGCAGCCCTTCCATATTTCTAGGATTCAAGTTGTGTTTATCGGTAGATGCACTGAACCCAAATTGTGTAATAGACGATGTGATATGAGTGACAGAATTCTTCAGGGCAGAGATGAAACCAAAGTGAGAAGCAGAGTGCTGACGTTTCTGTTGAATGAAGTTATAAACAAGGAATTCAAAGTAAACGCAATGAAAGAAACTTAGTCTACATAACAAAATTATTTGTTCTCAGTTAAAAGTGACTTTTTTATGCCGGAAAGTAGTTGTTAAATGTAAATCTTTTTGTTGAGGTTGTGAACTCAACTTTTTAAGCTGATTAATAAGTGTCTGTTTTAAAAACGGCAGTCACGGTAAGTTAGTTTGTCGCTAATTTAAAACTGCACTCACTTTGTGCTCACAGAAAAGATTCTTACACTTCCGTATGCTGCATGTCAGTTTTCAATAAAATTTACTCAATATATGAATGAATATTATTTAGTACAATTTTTCCTGAGAGTGCGGAAAAATTAAAATCATTTTGTTGATGATTTTTTCAGGGTTGGCTCATCAAAACCAGACGGAAAAACACAGTTTGGACATCATATTTACTGACAAAACCTATTGCATGTCCTGGTGGAATTCTCAAAGTTTTACACACTGAACAAATCACGATTGAACCGACTCAAAGTGAAAATATTGCTAAAGCGAGACCGTAGACGATAGGCGTTTAAAAAATGAATTAAAAACATAAACACACAAAAACAGGTTAACATTATCGCTTTCGAGTGGGTTGGTTAAAAGAAAATGGTCACTTATTTCCGGAAATGATTTTCTTGCATTTTCTGTTCATTTTGGGCTTGTTTTCGGGAGGGAGGCCGAGGGCTAGCCATGAGAAAAAGGTTATGTTGACCAGAAATGCACAGCATACAACAGCACATTACCCTCCTGAAGCGCCGCCATCGTTCGGCCGCGTATTTTGTGCACAAACAATGCGCGACGTCACATGCTTTCATAATGCATAATGCATATTGCTCTATGATGTGGCATAATGATGGTCGGTCAAATAAACGTTGAACTGTAAATATATCAGCTACCTTTTTTCGTGTATTTTTATTTTACAACTTTACATAATA